ATTCAAATCTATTTTTAAAAAGGCTGACATGGAAAAAAAGGAAAATTGTCAAACTTCTTTCAGTACCATTTTTTCTCACGCACTACCGCCTACCCTTCTTTGACTATACTGCAATAAAAAAAAAAGGGGGGGGTGGCTTCAATGAAAATTTTCAGACAATATAGTAAAAGTTATGCTTGGAAGAAAGTCAACAGGCCTTTCAATGAACATTTTAGAAGGTAAAGGTTATGCTTGGAACAAAATGTTGAGGGGGCGCGTCTGTAACTCGAATGTATCGTATTTTTGCAAAGTAGAGCTGATCTTCGAAAAGGATTGCTACACAAATAAAAAGAAAGCTTCACGAAGTGACCCGTAAATCAATTTGAAATAGCATATAATATATATTTACAATCAATTACAATAATTTCTTTAAAACCTTTCTTAAGTTAGAGTTTTTGGGGATTTTTGTAGCCTACATGTATACTTAAAAACATATATAATATCTAGTCAAGTTAAAGTATAAGCTTTGTCAAATGTTTCTAATTCCATATTTCTTTTTTCGAAGTACGGTGATGCATTGTTTCATAACTTTATGTGAGCTTTATTCATTTTTCAATTCATATTTTTTTAAAATCAGATATAGAGATTGCTAATTTGTAGGTTTATGTTTAGATTTGTAGAGGTGGGTTGCGTAAATATTTGAGACAAATAATCTCTCGTGGTTTGTGAATCGATAATTATGATTTTTTAAAATTCCAAATCGTAAATTTAATCAATCTGGCATAATAACATAGCTGGAATATAATAAATTGAATGGTCACATGATTTAATGGCTAATACAAAACAGTTGTGTGTGTGCATGTGCCATAGACGTCGAAAGCAAATTGAAAGATGGGGGGGGGGGGCTACACCTGGTCCAATAAAAAAAAGATTAGCCCAAGTTTTCAGTGCCTATATTATGTCTGTATCTTTGCAAAAAAAGTGAGAAAGCTTAGCTTCCCCCTGTTCCAAAGCCTATGTGTACAGGGTACATGTACATACAAACTCCATTATTTACAACATACATATAAATATACGATTAATTTGACATTATATGATCGAAAGTAACATACACGACAAGTCAATCATTAAGAAAGAATATACGGTGAATATTTAGTTTTCTTAAGGAACTATAACATGTATAATTGCATAACATAATTATGTAAATTGAGGATGTGATTTCATGAAAACTTTGAAAACATTTGAAAACTTAAACCTATTCAAATAGTAACCGGTGCCGTTGTCTAATAGTAGCCGTAACACAAGATTCTCCTAATAAAAACGCTCTAGTTTTTCAGAAACCCATCAAAGCGGAGAATGATATAAAATAACCAATAATATTTACAAATACACAACGAACTGTCTATTCATTTTTATCAAATATCTAAAACTTTTGACGCAATTTTAATATATTTCTTACGTGCATGTAAATGTGTCCAACGCTTTCGACAGTTTTCGTCTTATATATCAGCAATCCTTCAATTCATTAAAATTCTAAATATACATGTTAGTTTCAAAATGTATGTAACGTTCCGTAAGGGTGAAATACCAAGCGGCTAAACTTTAATAATTGAATTATTGACCATTTTGTTGAGCCAGCGAAGAAAAATACTTACAATTTCGTCCATTTTTTTCCACTAGCAACCGCTCAATTTTCAGATAGCAGTAAAGAACGCGCAATTTTTTCTGATAGCAACCGTTTAGGTACTACACCGTGTAACAACTGTCTTCTTTATTTATAATGATTTCTTGATGCCTTTATTGTAACACAGTTAGAAAACAGCTTAAAATATTCTTGGAATACAGCGTATATAAGAATATGGAGAACAGTGTATGTTGTACATTTCCTTTGTAATGCTGTATTGATATAACAGTTCACTAATGCTCTCTATAAGTAACCTATATGTTAAAGTTTTCTAATTTTCTGTTTGCAGAAGTGGTCTAAGGGAAAAGTCAGGGACAAGTTGAACAACTTGATTTTATTTGATAAAGCTACATATGACAAATTTCTGAAAGAGGTACCCACATACAAACTAATCACCCCATCCGTAGTGTCAGAAAGAATGAAGGTCCGAGGATCCCTGGCAAAGCAGGCTCTCCGATCTCTGTGCAAGGATGGTAAGGACAGATCTTACAGGGGTGGGGGTGTTTAAATCATATAACTTCCTATTTAGTTGATAAAGTGATTGTAAATACTAAAACTGGTTTTCAACATGTGTTTTATTTTGCATAATTAAAGAAAGAGAAGAAATTCAGATTTGGAAAAAATATTTTAATATAGTATTTCAAAATGGGTAAGATAAATGAGATTAATAGTTTTCACACTATACTACTGAGATATAGTTGTTCGATAATTTTATGCTTGAACTTCTAGTTGAAAACCTTCGTCAAAGTATGAAAATCAGTTGGACTAGGAGAAATAAATTGAAATATGTACTGCATTATATTATTAAGACATAACTTTCTGTTTTAGGTAAAATCAGATTGGTTTCCAAGCATCATTCACAGCTGATCTACACACGGATGACCAAGGGGGATGAAGGAGAAGATGCTTAAATAAACTTGTCTCCACAAAACAAAGAAGTCTTGTCATTATTTCATTATTTTACACCCTGAAACAGGTATAGGGTGTGATAGATTCCAGGTAACTACTTGGCAAGTTACCTTGTCTAGATTGAATTGATTAAGGGGAATCAATTTTTTTTTGTAGAAATAAAGGAGGAAATAATTACCAGCCACTGTCCTTGACCTTTGTTTTGAAAATGGAATAGTACTGCATTTGTAGAAATAATGAAACTAGAAAACTTGGAACAGTGGAAATCTTTTGCAGTCTGATGTTTAAGGCCTTTTGTCCTAACTTTTTTCATCTAAAATTCAATGTGGCATAGGCAAAAGCTCTCGTTGGGAGTACATGCAAAGGATGATTGTGGAGCATCTTCCTCAGTCCTAAATCAGACTAACTTGACTAAGTGAAATTTTTGATTTTAAGAGGGCATGAATGGTGCAGGGTTCATTAGTAGAAAAGTACCTTCTATGACTTAAAGCTGAACACGATTTGTGAAAGAAATGTGTCGCCATTTTTGAGTTAGCTCGCGTGGCGAGCTACTCTTTGTTGATGCAGCCGTTTCAGAGCTGTAAAATTTTTCACGCATTCCTCAAGGTGATCCATATACACTAGATATGATAGTTCTAGCAAAAATGTTTTTATTTGAGTGATTGTATAAACTAGGAGGCAAAAACTGTATAAAATTTCATACTGTTACCTTATTTATGTCTTCATGCTTTTAAAGAATTTTTTGATTAAGTATTTAATTCAATTACTGTGTATGAATATATGTTCAACTTCAAGCATGTTAGGCGGATCTAATCTTCCCATCTGAAGTTTATGTATAATTGACCTAGAATACTCCCTAACAAAAACACCTGCTGCTCTCATTAACTGCAGCTAGTGTGCTTGAAAAATGTATTTTTAAAATCCAGATTTCCTGTGGGAATCTTTAAACTAATTACTCCATAACACTGACCACTTCAGCTAGTGTGCTTAAATTCATTATGGAATCCAGGTTTTTGCAGTGCTGCTTTTCACAATAATATGTACGGAAGCCTATTAGTGCCAACCTGTATATTTAAATTGAAAAGGCAATATACACGTTATTTTTTAACCGAACATAGAGACATATTATATTTAATCTCTTAAGATGCAAAATAAACTGAATATATTAAGGTATGGTGTCCAAATGTATGAAAAAAAGCTCAATTAACTCGAGCGAGTCAACTCGCAGGCCCTTCAGGCCTTTGATTGTTCGGATTCTTGCTATATCTGAAGACCCCTTTATATAGGGCTCGTCTTGGACACTGTTCAATTTAATCAGTGGACACTGGTGTAGATGGATGTATGCTATACAGCACTCTGTAGCGACAAAAATTGATGCTTCGTTTAATGCAGGGAAGTAAGATGCCAAAGAAACTTACAATTATAGTAGGACAGTGCAGTAAACAAACACGGATACATGTAACTGCAATAAAATGTAAACAAAGGTTATGCAAGGTAACCAGCACGATTGGAGTATAATGAGGAAAGGTGAAGGTGACAGGCGTTGTGTACCTCCACAATGGTGCACTGTAGCAACTGCTAATGTTGAAACTGCTTGATGATGGAAATATCAATATGAGTTGCAATTATTGCATTATAGTTGACATTCTCAACTGCTAATGCCAAATACCCTCTTGATGAAAGATATCGTTAAGAGTTGAGTGTCGACTATTATTGCAATAATTTAGCATCGTGTTGTAATGCATGATAGAATATTGTTAAGTAGCATTTTATCATTAGCAGTTACTACAGTGCTCTTTAATGTGGTAAATTTTTTGTTGAAGTAAATGATTTGGTCTGATCAAAGTATTTGTTTAAATGTTATGACATTATTCTGCTACTAGCAACACAAGTCTTACGTTACTGAAATGAAGATTTTATGAAGTTGGGAATGAAAGTGAGCCACTCCCTGCTTTTCTAAAGCTTGCACATTGCAATGAATCATTAATTAATCTTGTTTATTGTCAATATATATGACAGAAGAATATGTGTTTGTACTTGGAATATATGTAGACTGTCTGATTGGCTATTGCATTAATGAGATACAAAATAGGAATTAGAGACCTTAAATGTCAGCTGGATTACTCTTGTCAATTTGTGTTCCTGTATCAAAATATCTTGAAAATAAGTTATTTTAAACTGCATTTTTAATGAAGGAGGTCTGAAATTTTCTTCAAAAAAATTAGCCACAGAATATTACTACAAGGGAAAGCAAAAGCCAACTCCAAACAAGCTAAAAGTAAACAATATAAAATAAGAACATGCACATCAAGTAATTATATGAAGATTAATTTATTTCTACCTCTGAAAATTTGTTACAGACACAAAGAGCAAGAATAACAAAGATCTCAGTCATTTTTCTATATGTACAGATGATAACAAGTAAAAACAAAGAACATTATAAATATATTTCAAATACATGTATCACAAACAATATCACAGATCAAATTCTTTGTATCACAGCATTATTCCTCAAAATCCTATCATTAAATATTGACAAGCAGAGAGGAAAAAAAATTCAAAGGACAGAGAAAATATTTTGCAAGAATGGACATCAAAAAGTCGATAATCCATCTTTTGTCATTTTAAAAGGAAATAAATGTATTAAATTTGAAAGCTAAAAGTATACTTTTAGCATTTGTTAAATTCTTATATAAAATTGGAACATTAAAAAAAATGTAAAAGGACTAAAACAGAATCTGAGGGCGAATTTGTTTCTCAAAAACCGGGTTTTAGTTTTGAACCAGTTTTGTAAAACTGTTCATTTGTTCCACAAACTGGTTTTAAACCAGTTTAAACCCAGAACCGGTTTTCCATTTGTTTTTGCTGTAACTGAAACCAGTTCGTTAAACCAACCAAACCACCTCCGATGGTGGTTTATTTGGTTTACGAAAGAGCGGGAAGTATTCCAAAATGGCGGTGATGAAAGATATAGTGACTATTATAATAAAGAAAAAAGTTATAAATTATTGTTTTTTCGAGGACAAACAACTCTTTTGACTAAAATGTCACATTCTGATATTTGATGTTTTATATATAAGGCTTCAGAGAATGAATTAATGTTGCATATTGAAATAATGGTGTTTGTTCAATAATTATGAACAGAATATGTAAAAATTTTCCTTTTCAAAAACAAGTTTTGAATCATTTGGACAAACTTCAACATGCCTGGCAAACTGTAGAACATACTGTTACATGTGTAAAAACAGCTTAAATACTGGAAATCTAAAGAGTAATTATTTATACCCGAGTGTTTATCTTTCCATGTGTTTAAAACGTGGAAATTGTTCATTTGATTAATCTTTGAGGCATTCAAAATATAAAAGCTACACTTTTAACTCTAAGTAAGATAATCAAAGAATACAATACGTTATAATTTCTTGGATTTTTTTTATTTAGAAAAAGATTTTAACACATTTTTTGCATGTGTAATTTGGTTAATTGCTCTGCATCTTTTTGACGCCATCTTGTACAAACCATGTAAACTGTTCATTTGTTTTACCTAGGTAAACCGGATTGAAATTTAAACCAGTTTGAAAAACTAGTTTTAAACCTTAAACCAAAACCTGAACCAGTTTATGTGCAACAAATTCGCCCTATAATAAGCCAGCATAAAGTTTTATACCATAAGTATTCATGTTTTTTTTCAAATATACAATGTACATAATAATCCTTAGAAGTTACTATGTATGAAATGAAATTTAGGTGTTTAATGAAAAGAGATGTAAATCATGATCCTGAACTCTTAGAGTAAAGTTTTTTTTTGAGATGGTGTCTTTTGATTGTTACTTTTTCCAGTAATCGGCCCCCGTTCGTTTTTCACCAGTCAGTGTGGTGGAATAAGGAGGGGCCTGTTTCCGAATACTCGTAAAGGATTTTTCATTACAGAGAACTTCCTTAAGGTCATGTGTTTTAGTTTTTGGGGCGACTTTGGATTTATGTAACATGCAGGCTATTAAGATGATGACTGCTATCAACAGAAGGCCGCCAATCGCCGCGACCACTGCTATGATCGGGATAGCACTGTCTGTACCATCAGGGGATGAGATCTGAAGGGGAAAAAAATCATAATACAAGATTTACAATTAACAATTGAGTATTACAGTTTGAACAATTATATAGATTAAAAATTTGTATTTTATGCATTACTATACACATTTAATTTTTGAATTTTTTCCAGCTCAGGTGTTATGCTTTGTTTCATACAGATAATTTTTATGTATGTATTACGATGACGTACCACCCCGCACGAGACTCCGTAATATTTATTTCCGTCCACCGTCATGTAACCACTGAGAGTGAGGCTCTGTCCCACAAATACAAAGTCTGTGCCGTTCTGGATAGCGATGCACAAGTCGCTGATGGTCGATGTGACATTGACCTCATTACCTCCTAAGTTGAAGGTCACCATAATACTCCCTGAAAAGAAATAATGTAAACCCAAAGTAAATCACCAAATTCACAAGTTCAGCTTTCATACTGATTGCAACTTCAATATTTTGTATTTTGTACAAATAGAGATTTCCTAGTAAAAATCGAGCCTTACCTTTGTAAACTAATTTTGGTTCTGGTATGACATTGGTAAAGTTGTTAGCCACCCAGTTCAGGACCATAGCGGCTAAGTATTTGTTTCTGCTTTCTCCTACAATGCTATCATAATCTGCATCAAATTTGAGTCCTATCTCCTTCACCGTGTCTCTGGTTATCCCCTGTTGACTGATTCCCCTGACAACCACAATTTCCTGGAGCTCGATGTTATAATCAACTGGATTGGATGTTATGTTAAATCGGACAACATACACACCAGAGGTGAAGAATAACAAGTCATCAAATGTTGCCCGTCCAGAATTAGCATCAAATGTGGTGGTTTTAGGATTCATGATGATTGCATCATACATTTCACTCATTCCAATTTCTGCTGTAACTGTCCAAGAATGACCCTGAAAGAAAAAATCTGCTCTAGAAATTTGTAGGTGAAATGCAAAGTAATTACAAAGAGAGAGAAAAAATATCAATGTACAAGAATTGTAAGCGACTTGATTTTTCATCAGACCTTACCCTCCAGTCAATATCATTAACTTTTTCATCAGTTACTCTGTCTCTGAGCTCCAGTGTGATAGTAGCTGATGACCTCTCCACTATGATGGGGGGCTTTGACACAACAGCTCCCACAATAGGTCTTCCTGGTAGGGTGAAGGCCTGGGAGGCAATCATAAAGGGCTCTCCCACTTCTGGTTCAGTGACCGTGAAGTCAAGTATGTAGTCTGTACCAAAATGGGAGATAGCAAGGTCGGTGAAGGTAGCCATGCCATTGACAAACTGGACAGTTTTATTTCCCAGAAGAACAGCATCTGGATTTCCTGTGTTTTCCCGAATTGATGCGGTTATCTTCCATGTGTTCTCCTCTGCTCCCAGCATTGTGATTATCTCCCCCTTTAAATAAAAGAATATTGAAAATAATTAAAGGCTTCCATATTTAGACTTTTGTTCTGCTATTTAGAAAATAAATGTTTTTATTAGAATTATATACAATGATGAAACATGAACAAATGCTGATTTTAAGATGCTACGTACTATACTTATCTTACCTGGCTGTCCCTAACTTGGATCTTTGGTTGTTTTGTGAATGGAGTCCCTTCATGTAAAGGCTGGAGTTCCGTGTGGAATGTCATGTGATCTGCCTTCTGTATCACCACGTAGCCGTCCGAACCATCGCTTGCCATTTGTTGCCATTCGGGGCTGTCAGACGCCGGCATCTCTCTCGAGATGGAGACAGAAGTGCCGGAGCTCAAACCGAGCGTGTCCGTTGTAAAATTTGTCAGCTGTACTGCATTGATGAGATCAGTGTGTGTTTTCTGTAAATCGTCACTCGTCATGCTGCTAGAATCAACAGGAGAACCTGAAACACACAATAAAGCACAGAACTCCACATCAGTATCTGATCTGATTTAAAGATTTATATTTTCTTTATGTCTGAGGATAATTGCAAGTCATGCAAATAAACCAAAGGTGAAACTTTTAACTATAACTATATACTGTATATACTAATGAACTAATGTTAAACATTATACCTGGAGGGTTGCTGATTTCAATGGTAGCACCTTCAATATTTTCATCAGCATTCCTTCTCCTTCGTCTGTTTTGAGTTTCCCTTTGGATGTCTGTGACTCGGACAAAATTAGGATCAATATCCAGGAAGGCTGCCAGATTCATGATGATATTTTTACCGTAGAACTCATCGAGAGTCATCGCGGGGAACTGGAAGGAGACGATAACAGACTCCACCGTGATGATACTCACTGGCTTAGGTCCCTTGATGAGGAGGACCAGAATACCAGCATCTCTGTCATAGAAGTTAGACCCAGAGTTATCTACACAGGTGGCAGCACTGGGCTTAAATTTGTCTGGTTCCCCGACCGGGGGAGGATCATAAACAATGGTTTTTATGTCTCCAACATGTCTAGCATTTTTTGGCATGACATAAACATTATCGTGATACACGTCCAGACGCCAGGGCTGGGAGTACCAGATTGAGAGCTGGATACAGTCATTTTGTCCAACATCCAGCATCATAAAGCGAGAATTCTGAGGGGAGGTACCAGTGTAATGTATCAGATAATTCTCGTCTGAAATAGAGATATGATGCATATTCAAAGAAAAAAGTTAATTTTTTCAAAAGTCATTTGCGTAAATGTAATAATATCTTATAAATTCCCATATTTCATTGAAACATATTTTAAAATTATGGAAGGAATTTGTTTTGAAAGTAGGATAGGTGTTTGAAGTAAATTGCTTACTTAGAGAAACAATGGCCTGGAATGTAGAGAGTCTTTTTCTACAGGTGTACCCCATACACCAGCCATGATCTTGTGGGCCATTAATCAGGTCAAGGTAACCATTTCCCAGGATGGCGACAGGTGAGATTCGCCGTGTCTCTGTGTCTTTGTCCAGACTCTCTATGGTCAGTGTGTAGTGTTTAGAGTTAGGACACTTGTAGGCCTGCCATGAGGAGACATAGGTACAGCTGCCGTCTCTAATGATACCTGACAAAAGATAGAATAAAGATCATTAGTTACCTATAACACCTGTGTTCACCTACAGTAACAGAGAAACATCATACAGTTAAGATTAATTACCTTTATTGGGGGCCAATGTATTAATGTCAATTCTCTCCCCATCTAGAGTGGTCAGCATTTCCTTAGGCACCCTGTAGTCCCCTAGCCCGTACGCTGGGTCTCCATTCCACTGATACTCGGACTGAGGGATGACGGCGCCCGCCTGATCCAGGAAACTGCCATCTTTGTCAACCAGCAGGGCCTTTATCTTAGCGTCGCAAGCCATGTCCACACAGTCAGAAGGATTTATCTTCCTACAAGTAGTAAACTGGTACATTACTGTGAGGAATCACTTGTAATCAGTAAATAAACAGATTTACACCATCATCTCAATATTTAAACAAAGAAACCCACAAAAGACCATATACTCCAAGTTTTGAGAAATCAGAAAAAAATATCAGGTACACATGTGCAAAACAGCAAACTAATTCCATAGAGTTACAAAAAGCCTACCCTAATTCAGATCTGGGATAGAAGACCTTTGATTCTTCCTCCACACCTACCAACACCACATTGGATGTCTCCATCCTGTGGTTCCCGTCATCATTCTTAAAATTCGGGGCGATTACTATATCTCTTCCACCGGAGCAACGGGCACCAAATTTAGAGAAAGTAACACCTTCAACAAAACAAAGATTAATTAATGAACAGACATTTTCTTTCTAAAAAGCAAAAAAATATTTCTCTCACTTTGTAAATGTATCAATCTATAAATATATACCTGACACGTAGGCTCTTCCTCCGATTGCCTGGTAGGCCTTTATATCAGCCAATGGTTTCTCAGTAGCCTTGTTTCCTCCAGAAGAAAACGTTGGCATGGTAACTCCGAGTCTCCTTGACCCACTGTGGGCGCGGCTCTGCTTGCTGAGTTTGATGTTACAGTCATTGGCATTGGAGACATCATTAGTGCAGTCGAAGGCGTCTGATGTACCTATGATCAAGGAATCCTCGACTTTGGCAAATTTGTCTTCATACACATGTAGTACAGATGGAGGTCCAATAATGAACTGGAAGATGTTGACCCCATTATCTGCCGCCTTCACGCCTTTTATGACATTGTTTACCAGGTTGTTGTAGTATATTCCATAGTCCACGCTCTTCCATACTTCAAAGTTGTTTATTTGTACACAGTCCATACCAGCTGTATCAACAATTTTTAAAAAGTTTATAACAGGAGAACAACATGCAGAGTCATAAAGAGAATAATTTTCTGTCTTTATACTGTCAAACCCAGCAAAGCAACCACCTGTGTTAAGTCACTATCAATTTTATGTAACCATTAAATTTCTTTAGTCAGAATTTTACTAATTTGGATTACTTTCTATACATGTAATTCATATGCATATATACATCAAAATTTTCTAGAATGCACTCTCTGCTCTAAGAAACTACTTTTTATTTTAAAATTTCCCTAAAAAGGTCAGATAATAGGTCTGACTGTTTTATAAATTATACATTAATTTAATCAGTGTCACACTTATTTCATTTGCTGCACTGATTCAGTATGTAGCAGCTTTCTCCTTTACCTGGAATGGGAGTTTGTGACTGGATATTAGCCACCCCTATCAGTGTAGTATGAGCCACATTGCTTTCCCAGGCCGCTGCTTCACCACAATCCTCCCCTAATATGTTGTAACCAATCCTCTGAGCCCCTCCCACTGCATTATACGCCAACTCCACGTCTTTGGCATGGTTCAGATTGAAAGCACCATTGTATCGCACATTCATGGTTTCAAATCTACCATTAAAACACCCTTCCCATTGCACATTTGTGGCAAAGTTGTGAGATAACTTGGTTTTAGCACTGGTGGTCTCCAAGGCTGAAAAAAGTCAAATTACAAAACAAATAACAACTGGATGTATTTTGTCTAAATCAATAAATCTGTCGAAACAATCCATGTACCTACCAAACCACACTGAGTCTGCCATGACATTCCATTCCACTGGTAGCTTGTTGGTGCCATGTACAGTGATAGCGGGGGCAAAGCTTTTATGGAAGGAACAGCCCCTGACAGCTGATGGTTTAATGTTGCTGACTGTCCCGGCATCTGTAAAGGCCAGGGAAGCCCTGGAATCCCCGCGCTCCACATACCCCTCCTGTCCCGAGTACCGGAACTCCACATTACTGAGTCGGGCATACCCTGAAATTTAAAGTTAGCAATTCTCTAATATTGGTATTAAAACATCAAATAATATTACAATGTTGGGTATGTTTGAGAGTTTTCTTTAAAAACAGTGCTGGTACATTTAAAGCTTCTTTTCAAGAACTTGAATGAGGCAAGAGATACAAACTGAATACATACTGATGCCCTTGGAGAAATACTCAAACTTTTAGTTTATTTTCCTGTATAAATCTGACAGAATGATTTAGGTACCTATGTAAAGCTGTCCGTCTTTGACCATTCTGGACACCATCATTCTGGCTCCGAAGGCTTCGTCCTGAATGTCCGGGTAAACTGCTCCCTCAAAGCGAATGTTCCTCGTCAGTCTCCCCACCTCTGCAGCCATTGTTATTGTTTTACCGTTGGCAGTATGAGTGTGTGCTAAAAATCAACATTTGACTTATAATCATGCAATATTCCCCATAGTTTTGCTACAGTTGAACATTGGTATCTTGAACACTTATATCTCATGGATAATAAAAAGTAAATAAGAAGTTCCAGCTACTTAATATTCTTTAAGTCTTCAACCCTTGATATTGCAAATCAATCTTATCAATTTACATGTAAACATCAGTTATCATACAAACACTTACCAATGTGCTTATACTGCAATTGACCATCTAATGTAATGGTATTTCCAGAGACGACTGTGATAGTAAATCTCTCTACCTCCTCGGGTTTGTATCCTGTGGGGGCGATGATAATCTCGTCCCCTACCACCCAGTCTACAGTCGAGGCCAGGGTCAGCTGATTATCCCCAGGGTTCGCAGTCTGAGCGAGACGAGTCCAGGAATCATTTCTCTGTACACCGTGCATGTCAACTCCTCCAAAAGCAGCTGAAAATGAGAGAAAATTAAGTAAATGAATGCTGACTATGACCATGCACTGACAGTAGTTTTTTACCAAAGAAATCTACTAAAATGTACTGGTCTTGAAAAAAAATTTTAAAAGTGTTAATTTATTAGATTATAAAAGTTACTTATCTATTCCTAGGAAAACAAATGACTATTGAGAAATTTCGCACCCATACTATTTTTGTCCAGACACATAAACAAATAGTGATCCTGTAGTAAAATCATTTAAACATACATAAATCAGCCCTTCCAAATTAAAAACAATTTTCCTATTGCTTAATGCCACCATAAATTAGGAAACTTGAGTTTTAATTAATGAGCGATCCATAGGGCAAAGAGCTCACCTTATAGCTTTAGCACTGCTGTTTTTCTCAGATTTGTAAGATATCTTAATATTCTCATGAAAAATAATGATCTTATATTATGACCCCAGCCTAACTCTAACAAACTACAAGTTTCAAAATTCCTTATCATAAAAATTTACTGGTGTCCAGCACTGTCCACATACTAGTTCTGTGAGAACTTGGTGTGCTTACAAAACTCACCTAAAACTTTGGCCCCTATAGTAGGACCACTGTCTTGTTCATAATTCTCTGTCTGTTTATCACCCTCCAGGATAACCAGCACATTAGACAGGAAAGGTTTATCTGGCCATCCAATAATAAGTCGTCCACCATAAATTACAATGTATTTACACCGGATTTCAAAGTCTCTGTTTCCATTATTATCGTCTAATTCCAGCACACCATACAGAACCAGTTTTTCCATGCGTGGTATTGCAATGTCTCCTACCACCCATTGATCTGCGAAAAAAAATAACATGTACTATTTAAAGACAATTATCAGAGCAATGCTACAATTAATAACTCACAAGTATGGACAGAATAAAACATAGTATCCTTACATCACAATGAAGGGCCCTACCCTACCTTTTGGTATCTTGACACTGTCCCCATCCCTACCCTACCTTTTGGTATCTTGACACTGTCACCATCCACTGGCAGGTCGTATTCTCCATTTCCTTTATTCCCTCCCCATCCCTCCTCTGCATCTGCCCACGTCTCTTTCTCGGACCACAGCACAGCGTGGTCAGGACGAGACTCCTCGGGGGGAACAGTGTTGGGGTCAGGCGGGGGTTGACAGTTCGGGAAGAAGCACTTGTAAGCATTGAAGTTTACACTAACATGTTTATTTGTGGTGGGGTCATTGATTGATGGGTCATGTCCTCTAACTGAAAAGAAAATAATCAGTGTTTATGAAACATTTCTACAGAGTTTCTTTGAATCTATGTTTCTATAACACTGGTCTGTGTACTTTAAAAGTTAAAGGTCTTTTAAATTTTTTGGCCAATTAACATAAATCTTTATATCCAAACATACATATTCAAACTAAAAATATTTATTCTTATTAACAACAGTTAATGGAAAATCTGGCTAATTTTACATCCCAGGTTTAATCACGAGTCCATGATATACCTGGTAAGAATTTACCTATATACTGTAAGATGGTAGATTTATAATCCCAGTGACCATGACTGCTCGTAAGAGGATCTATGGCTGTATCAGGCTTTGGTGTATGGCTAGAACTCTGAAAAAACACACGGCTAGGTTGCTGGTCAAGGGACTGCCTAATTATCACATACTCATCCTTAGTCTGAAAATATTACAAAAGGCACTTCAATATTCTTCTGTATCAAATGAGACAATTCCTAATTACATATCATACTTCTTACATGTATTGTTAAATTCCAAGAAAAATAATTTTTTAACAAGTCTTATACATGTATCTACTTCATGATTTAGTTTTGAATTCTAAATCAACACTAGGAATAATTCAATTATTTAAATACATCTTAATCAGAAATACATTGACAATATTGAACAATGCTGCTCTGACTTGAACTATTAGTTACCTCAAAATTGTCGATTCTCCCTTGGTAGGAGAAGTTAGTAAATCCTGGATTATCTTGGAATTCCATTGTGTAATTTTCACCATCTAAGAAGACCATTAGCCAGCCCTGCTTGTGGGTGATTGCCTTAAATCGGAATGGCTGATTGGTGCTGCCATACTGATTGGTAAATATTGCGTTCTTGCCATCTAGAGACTTTGGAGCTTTGTTAAATGTAAACCTGTGGAATCTGAGATTATCTGGACAGACCACGGCTGCAATGGCACCTTGACTGAAGGCTGGAAATGATGTACAGGTTGATGGCAGAGTTTCAGAGGTGGGGAGGACAATTTTTCCTGCGTCTGGTGCTGAGGGACCATTAGCTATCAAGGAACCATCTAAATCTTTGAATAAAGCTTCCCATGCCCAGAAAAACTTCCCCCTGTTGGGTGAGTTGATAAAAGTCAGCCCCTCAGTGGTGTACAGGTAACCACCACAATTAACAGAACATGTTCCTGTGATTCTGGTCACACCAAATGCTGCCAAGTTATCGTCAAAATTGACAAACTGCACATTTTTAACATGGAAATTATATTTGTAAGGAAGTTTGATACCAAACTGGGTGCTTCCCTGTCCTGTACTAGTTAGCTCTGTGGCATGAGCAATAATCAATGAGTCTTCAATTACCTGACTTCCCTCTGCTACCATCTTGCCTTCATAACCAGCTTTTTCATTGTTCAAGAGAACAAAGTTTTTTAACCTAACTGACCCTCCTTCCACAATCTCGGCCCCTTTCTCACAATTCCATACAGTCAGGTTAGAAAACAAGGATTGCTGTGGTGTCTTAGAACCACAGCTCCCATCATCTTTTGGAGTAAATGTCTGAAACACCCACAGACCAAACCATCCATTGGAATGAACAGTATTGTTGAAGAATATATCAACAGGAACATTCTGTGGGCAGATGGAGGTGGTGAATGAAGGCCCGTCTGGATGCTTGTGCATCCTGTACCAGAAACCAAAGTGTGTGCCACCAGCAGCTGCATTATGCTGTACTGTGTTGTCAGGATTCGTTACCCAAAATGCAGCTGGAACATTATCGTCATTCTGCAAACTTGAACTTGCTTTCACTAACAACAGCAGGTTATACTGCAGGATGTTTCTCGTTTCTATCCCGTCCTCCAGGAACATGGCACCACCCATTGTATCGTACGCCACGTTATACTCCACTAGTACGTTGTGAGTGCCGTGAACATTGACGACACGGTTGAAGGACTTATGGAAGCTGCAGCCCCTGACATAGGACCCAGACATGTTGCCATTGATATGGAAGTGAACAGGGTAACGTCCTAAACGGAAAGCCTGCCCTACGTAATTGAATTCCACGTACTGGATGTGGGCTGCGACACTGCCCGTGTCTGGACTCGGAGCGTGAAGAATGACGTGGGCTCCAAACTGATCCGTGCCCATCTCCTCCCCAAACAAACCTTGGAAACACTTCCGCCTAGCAAACTCACCTGTAATGAACACATACAAGACTTGATAAATTATGAAACACTTCAAATTTTTTCATCTAAAGTAAAAAAAATTAAAGTATCAAATTAAAGTTAAGAATTGTCTCTCTTGCAAGTTCCATTCCAATAACAAACATTTTTTAAAATTGTTTGTTGTGCTCTCACTTTACTTCTTTTAATTTTCATCATGTAAAAATTTATTAAGAATACCAGAAGATAAAGTAGAATCTATCTAAACATATTAAAACAGAGTATAAGCAATTTTACCAGTGTCAAATCCATCTGGACATGCCTCAATAAGATCATTCCACACTTCGTTATTAGTCCCCTGGATGACAATATTTCGCGTGAGGAGCCCCACTTCTGCTCGCAGTTCTATGTCATGTTCGCCATACCTCGCTGTTACCCCGAGATGTTCATAGCCCAGTGGCTGGGTCAAGGTCAGAGTTATCCCGTCAGCGGAGACGGAACTAATCGTGCGCTGCTCTGTCTGTTGCTGGGTGTGTCTGTGACCTGTTGTTGCTATGACAATGACATCACCTGTCTTCCAGTCCACTGGGTGTGTCAGAACTATATCTGTAGCCCCGACAGCCGCTGTAGTCTGTAGTCGTGTCCAGGTCGTTACAACTCTTTGTCCTGTTCACAGAATACATACAAGCTATAACTTCTGTATGAAAGTTATTATATACTAAAGGATAAATGAAGTGAATGCAAAATTAGAATAAGAAATTTAGGTGACTGGTGTAAAACTTTCTGAAAAAAATATGAAATTAGCCCCTTCACGGTAACTGCGGTACTGCTCTTCTGCAGGGCAAATTAATAACGTTTGGCGGAGTTTTTGTTGATAGATAATTATATGACGTTTTTAAACAATTGCTTTTACGTCATATTTCACCAAAATCTATCATTTTGCCCTGCAAAAGAGCAGTACCGCAGTTATCGTGAAAGGGTCTATTCATCACACATTTCAACAGTCAGACCAAATTCAAAATGGCTGAATTTCCTCAGAATCAGGTCTACAAAAAAATTCTTAAGTTCTACATAGATGGTTGTAAACCTATGGTATGATTTACCATGTAATTCCAGTGATCCATTCCGCACTCCTATCATTTTTGTCCCATACACAGGTAGCTCCTTAGACCTTACATGTCCATGTAGAGTAATTTTGGCTTTATTTGGGAATGGTGCATCGCTACTTCCTACCTAAAATAAAATAAACAACATAATAAAAGATGGACTTCACATGCTTTATTTGGTTTACTTTTATCTATTTCATTCACCAGAATTTAGGCATTAAGGAGATAATGATCAGATTTACAAAATTAAAGCTTAGCCTGTTTTATTACCAAGCCATATATACTATAGATATTGGAATACTTACTTGTAACTTTCCTCCTTTAGTTATTAGAATTCTCTGGGCCTGAAGCTCAATGTCTTTTGTGTCAAAAACAAGATTGCCTCCTGCAATACAAAATGCAAATTGCAATGTTTCCAATAATATTATCCTAGCTGCAGTGTATGAAAAATTGATAATTATGAGAACCGACTTAAGTCACTGTCAATAACTCTAAATCTCAATGACAGCAGAATCAGTAAGTAGACAGTAATCTGGATTTCTATAAGTTTGCAATTACAGTAATTCACCACTATAAATAAGTATGTAGAATCTTTCATAAGAACCTCATAAGCTTATCAAAGAGAAGATGTACGACTCCTCATACTATAGTATTCATGAATTTACCATATGCTAGCACATACATGTCTTTTCAATGAATAATCCTTAAGTTCACCATCAACATATAAATTCTTGAAATTTTAGTCTACATTACCCCTATCAGTATAGACATAAATCCTTACATTGACGTGTACCCAATGAACTAGCCATCCATTATAAGATATAAACCTTGTAAGTACCATCTATAAATCTTGTAAGTAATTAATATCTTACCATCTATAAGTATTGTATCCAGCACAGGAGGACTGATGTCCAATAAAACAGTGTGCCCCTCCTTTATGACGACTAGTTCATTTTCTTTTGGAAGTATACCATTTTCCCAGGTAAATGGTGAAGACCAAATGTCCACATAAAAGAACTCGAACCCTCCCTGTAAAAGATTTAACAAATGACTCAATGTTTCAGTGCCTCGGCAAGTTTTTAATTTATGATTGCATGTCGAAGAGTGTGAAAATAACAATGAGTGAAATTGGCATAATATAAGGTACAATATCATTTTGTTGCGTTTGTTTTACGAATTAGTCTTTTTATGCTACAACATACTACCGGTAATTTATAATCTATGTGAAATTTATAATCTATGTGAAATTGTTCTAATGAAATTTACTGACGCCAGAATGGCCAAACAAATATCGTATAAGTGGAACTTTTAGCAAAATACAAATTTTGCCATTTATTCTTAAAAACTGGTATTTTATTTTTAGGGAGATGTTATTTTAGCAATTTAAAAATGCCCACCAAAGAAGCTATAACAAATATAGCGCAAATAATTTTTAGCGATATTCAATTTTAGCGATATCAACACCCTCTCTAATATTGCCAAAATTAAATCCTCGCTAAAAATTCTGCTTATAAAGGATGGAAACCTTAGCTCAGATGACCTGGACAGCATATTAACAAAACCAGAGTAAATCTCCTGTGTAATCTTACTGATTTCTACACTTACTGGATTAGCCAGTCCATTTCCTGGCACGGTCACACTGACTTTGTACTTCCCAGTGTCTGTGTGTTGGTCAGTATCACATTCAATCTGAACATCTGTCCAGCTTGTCACAGAACAAATGCTGCCATCTATTACAACTTGTCCTTCAGCACTGAAATAAAATAACTCTATAAACTACACAAGTGTGTATTCACATGAACTACTATAAATGACACAAATATCATAATGAACTACTTAATGCAACACAAACATCATAACACACATTGATAATTATAAGCATAAAAAGGACAGAGTATTACTATGGGAAACCCATAAATGCTGCAGGGTCTTCAAAATTAACAAGAGGATTAAGTAACGTTACAAAGAAACCAGACTTCTTGAAATCTTTCAGTCCTGTCGGCAAAACCTATAAAAACAACCAAGGACCGATCATTTTGTGTCTCTGTCAGTCCAAATGACCGGTAAGTTTTGACAGGAACTACAACAATCCGACCAAATTTCGTAAAAATTCCCTATAACAGACCGATCATAATCTTTCAAACACCTTTCTGTATCTTGTAATGGCTTCCTTGATGAACGCAAGTGCAAAACTATGATTGGTAAACTAGTTTGTTCACGGCACTAAGGTAAGCCAGGTGAGAAAATCAAACTAGATAAAAAAACTTATGAAGAAAATGGACCCCCACAAGAATTCAAAGAAAGATCTTATACGTCTATCAAATCCACATGAAGTGTGCAGTGTTTATTGATGCTGAGTGCACAATGTATTGATAATAAAACTCAAATACAGTTTTCCACTTTTTATTGAATTTTTTTTTTGGACTGATAGAAATCTGTCTGGACTGACAAACTTCACGAGGCATTCAGTCCAAATGACTGACAGTGAAAAAAAGATTTCAAGAACTCTGAGAAACTATTTTTAATACTCGGTGAATTTCTCCAAAAACCTATCATATTCAAGTTTAGTTTAGTATTTTACTTCCAGGAAAGGAATGATGACTTTACAAACCCATAATAGAGCACTGTTTTTCACCTGATAAACTTACCTGCCAAATCCCGAGCCTGTTATTGTCAAAGGTGTGCCCCCTCCCGTTCCCCCGCGGAGGGGAGATAAGCCTGTCACTGCCGCTGTCTTAGCTTGCTGATAGCTGAATTCACCACTCAGTGTTCGCACTTCACCACTGGACGTCAGGACAACATCACAGGTTTTAACACTCCCTACATATCAAAAAACAGCCTCAATTCAATGGTAGACTTAAAATCAGTAAAAGCAACACTGGCCAAAACACACCTATCAAAGCTGCATGTCATATACAAACATCCAAGCCCAAACTATGCTAAGGAAACATGAATTTTTTTTAACTGATTCTTTGACCACCCTGTACATAAAATCTTTCTCAGTTGAGCAGTTTAAAATAATGGAAACTAATTATTTATTTTCAGCAACACAGGCCATGACTTTTGACCCTATAACCTTTATACAGCAATCAGGTCTAGGTCAAACTTGTCAATGAAAACGGATTTTAAGGTATTCTTACAATCAGATGAGGGGGGAGATAAACAGGAGAATGTTGTTGGAGTGAGGGAACTAGACTCTATAGGGCAAATCTCATCACAGATCTTAAGTTCTGCATTCCCATCAAACCCAGCTCCACTAATAGTCAATGTCTGACCTCCGTAAATACTTCCTAGAAAGGAAAACATTACATTAATATCTAATATTTTGTAATTATTTGATTTGTTTTACTACAAAAAAGTCATCATTCATTACAGAAACATGTTCAATTTCTCCAATGTTCAATACAACAATTCATGTATCAACAAAAAACATGACTAAGTTAACTGCTTGAACTCCATAGGATAAAACAAGATAAAGAAGATTGTTTCAAAGGCATTAAAGGAATTACCACACATGATTGTCTTAAGAAAACAAATATAAAACTGTGATCACCTGAGTCAGGGCTGACAGCTGAGAGTTCTAGTGAGTACTCGTACTGGATGTCACCATTGGAAATCCCGTGATCTGTGTGGACTACCACACTCTGCTGTCCCACCGCGTGAGGAGTGGTGGTACACGTTATCTCAGTGGCAGTCGAGGTGACCACGGTACACTCCGCCATCCCTATGGTCACTCTCTGGACAGGACTGAGACTCTGACCACTGATTGTGACAGTTTCACCATGGCTACCTTGGTTGGGAGAGATACTGGTGACCTTTGGAGATATGGCCTCACTGTAGGTAAATGTTTGTTGTGGATAGGTTTCTGAACCCACCTGTATGTCAACTTGTGAGGTTTCTGCTGCATGAGCACCAGTAGTGCACCTTAAATCAGACAGAGTGGCACTAACAAGTTCACAATTCACACCTCCTATAGTAACAACTGCATTTTCTGTGAAGCCATTTCCCTGGATATGGATTTCTGTTCCACCATACACACTGCCAGAGGTTGGAGTTAAACTGCTTATTACTGCTGGTGAAACTACCTCGAGTGATGACACAGCATTTCCAAAGCCAGACACTGAGACACGGACAGCATTCTGACCCAGGGGGAGGTTTGTAATGGTGCATGTAATAGTGTCCACGGTCTGTGATTGGACGCCACATTCCTCGCTGCCAATGTGGACCGTGGCTCCCTCTACAGCGGACTTCAAATTAGTACCAGTCAAGGTCAAGGTCGTCTGACTGGTACCCGTGATAGACCCAGGATTTACACTCACCAATTCTGGTGTCACAGAGGTGGCATAAGAGAATGTACATGCCCCACTTGTATGCTTGCAGATTGCCATAACCTGAGTGCCTGTTGTTGTAATGACTTTAACCTCCACTGTCTTTGTACCTATGATTTGAGCTGAAGATATGCATGTGATCTGAGTGAATGATGTGCTTTCTATTGGACAGATATAACCACCAACAGTCACTACCATTCTTCCTTTATCTTCAGAGAACCCAGTTCCTGTAATTGTGACTGGTGTTCCACCAGCAGTGGATCCTGATTCTGGAGAAATGGTTTTCACTGCGGGTACCAGAGCAAAGGAACGTTCCAATCTCTTCTCAATTTCTATCAGAGCATACCCTCTATTTTTTACAAGTAATGAAATTTCCTGTAATAGACCAACAGTTGGACTGTTTGCCGAATCAATACAGCAGTCAAATTTTCCATCACCTAGACCTTTTACACTGCATACATTGTCTCCAAACTTAACCTCTAGTTCACAAATGTTGTTACTGACTCCCTGACCTGTCACTGTTATCGGGTCAAGGGTCGTTCCTTCATTTGGAGATACCCCGGTGACTTTTGGTGTTGCACATTCCCAGAATGCAAAGTTCCATCTGTTAGGATTGCCTGTAGGAAGGGTAGGGGTGTTACAGAATCCCAGGTCACCAGTACCCCCGGGACAGGGTCCTCCAGGTGTAGGATCAGCAGTTCCTATCAATAAATCAGTGATTTGATCCAATTAATTTTAATTGAAGTTTCATTTATCAAAGGAATTCATTTTTTTGAATAAGGAAAAAAAGCTTTATCTTAGTTGAACAAGTTACTGTTGATTTTTTATATTAGTACATGAAAAAATATCAAGTAACAAAATTTTCAAAACATCAGCATAAGTTACCTGGTTTTTCATGGCTGAGATCAATACCAGCATTAATCTCTTTTTTTTGAGGATGAATTAATTTTTATCATAAATTACCTGGTTTCTCATGGCTGAATTCAATGTTTTGAACCATCACTTGTACCTCTGCAGCATATGAACCCAGACTTACGACCTCAATCACGCCAGAGAATTGGGTTGTTTTATAAAAGTCCACATAGTCACTCCAGTAATGGTAGGTCCCAGGCACCAGGAACTGGAACTGGTAAGCCCCTACAGATAGAGTACATTATAAAACAGGGCTACTACAGACAGAGTTCATTATAAAACGGCCCCTACCGACAGAGTACTTTATAAAACAGGGGAGGTAACACAGAAAGTGTGGTCAAGTAATATCAATACCAACCAACAAAGGGATACAGTGGACCTTCAGATATCCAAACGCCAGATATCCAGATGCTTCAGTATCCAGACGATTTTTTATCAGAACGGAATTTTTTAAATGTTATTTTGTCTTGTTTAACTGGTAATTCAGGTAGCCGGATGCTTCACATATCCGGACAAATTAACTAGGAACCGAAGCGTCCAGATAAATGAGGCTCCACTGTACACAAAAATACTCAAGCATATAAAATCCTAGCAGGGCACTCTCATGTATCTAATTTTATCTGTAACATGTCTGTGAACCATGTGAGATTCAGTATTTGGATTACAGAGAGTATTATACATCAGCTGTAGAAGTCTTACCTCTGGTTGTAGGGGGACCACTATTGAACCCCCCCTCCACCGCCTCCTGAGACAACAGTTCCTTCACCTGAACCACCCTCACCTTCATCCCCTGGATAAAGGATTTAAATTCCCAGCTCCAGGATACTGTGTCTCCAACACTAATCTCCAGAGTCTTAGGTGTCCAGGCATAGCCACTGATACCAATCTCTGAAGGGTTTAAAACAGAAAGATAAAATTAAAAGTCCATTATAAATGCAAGCACATTGTGCAATTTTGAGCCTGAGAAATCTTCAATATCAACCATATTAAGTAAAATTCAAAAAAATATTCATCCTATTTTGTTGAAGACCATGTGTTTATAGCTTAATATCTATCATAGGCATGCAAAACTGCGATCACAATGCTGAAATCACAAAATTAACATTCAGTTGCCCAGCTCTAAAAACAGTGCACTTATCTCCTAAAAAAAAAAGTTGCGTCATCAAAACTATGTCAACATTTGAAAAATAGAGTGATGAAATTAGACAGAAAATTGGGGAAAACTCTAGACTTGTTATGTTAAACTTTGCCTTATTATGTTCCCCAAACGAAGTTGGGGAACATATTGTTTTTACTCTGTTTCTTCTTATTATTATTATTATTAAGGTCTTCCGACTTCCTTCGGAAGACCTTATTGTTTTTCTTCTGTTTTTTATTATTATTATTATTATTATTATTATTCTTTTTTCATAGTACAGCCGATATCTCAGTTATGCGTGGACAGATTTCAAAGATTTTCTCAAGGTAGATGCATCATGAGAATATCTCCCGACGTGTTTTTCATTTTTTCAAAAATCACTTTCGTTCGCGATTTTTGGGGATTTTTGTATTTTTTAAAAAGCATTTTGTCCAGCGGTTTTCTCAAGAACGGCTAAAGATATGAAAGTGAAACTCGCTGAGGTGATAGAACATCGAACTCCGTTATGGGCAACGACCTTTATTTTTCGTCGTCGGCACTTCCGGTCGCAAACGGAAGTGAATTCAAAAAGTCCCATTTCTCAACTTTTTTGTTTTTCAATACTTTTCTTTAGGATTTAGAGGGTTTATAGTGTGTCTTATGAGAATTCTAAATATGTGTTCAGTATCTTGATGCGTGCATATATTGAAACGATATGACCGAACCAAACTTTGTCCCACTGTCGGGGGTTCGAATCCCGCTGGGGGCGTTGCAATTTTTTTTCTTTGTTTTTGTCTTTTTTCATTTGCAAATTATTTTTCTCTCTTTTATTACATGTATGGAAGATTTTGCCGAATTTTAAAAGCTGTATTTTGAGATATTTTGTGAAATAATTATTATTATTATGATCTGTGTTGATAGACTACTGTAAATGAACGTAAGCGAAAAAAATGCATTCTGAAATCTATTTCTTGTGATGACACGGCATAGAACTCTAAAGAAAAGTGGGTCGGAAGACCTGCTTGTTGCTCTAGCAACAAGAATGCATCTAGTTATTATTATTATTTTTCTTCTTCTTCCTGGAACTTTTTTGTCCGGGAATGATCTTGTAAACTGTTCGTCCGAGGTAGGTAAAACCTTTTTAGGGTAAGTAGACATGTTATGCAGATTTGCGGAATCAAGGTCATTTTGCGCGCACGTGCAACACTTGAAATAACCAATATAATAGATATAGTCGGAACTTTTCTATTTTTTGATAAAATGCTTTGAAACTCATAATGTAAGGATACATTAGTAGTATAGACAAGATGGCATGGTCAAAATAGCAAGATCTCACGCGCATGCACGTGCGCTTCGCTCTGATTGGCTGAAACTAAAGTCTCAATATCTTTCTTGTTTCTTGTCATAATCTTTTGAAATTTTGAACATGGTCCTACATTATGAAGATCTAGAGCATGATATATTAAAATTTTAATAAAAGCATGCGCATGCGTGCGTGCTGTAATCTGATTGGCTAAAACTTTAAATGGCTATATCTCCTTTGTTTTTTGACGAAATGCTTTGAAATTTAAAACATAGTCATGCATTACGATATCCTAAAATATGATATAGAAAATATTCATGAAATCACGCGCATTCACGTGTGCTGCAATCTGATTGGCTGAAACTTCAAATGGCTATAATTCTCTTGTTTTTCAACCAAACAGGATGGGATTTAGAACTTGGATAAATATAAGGGACTCCTACAAGAAGGTGTAGTCATTATGCACATGCGTGCACGTGAAATGAGTAAAATAAACCAGAAGTCTCTGTCGAGACTGAAGCTCTACTGGTTTGTACTTATAGCAAAGAAAGAGAAAAATACTTAAGCACTGGTTTGTACTTATAGCAAAGAAAGAGAAGAGTACTTAAGCAGTTGGGAATTGAAACTTTACGACAGCAATAAATAGAATAATGATCCTTGATAAAGTCTCTTTATGTTCTTAGTGTAGTCTACTTGTGTGCCAAGTTATATTGAAATCAGACCAAAACTGTAGGAGGAGTAGCATTTTGAAACAATTTTACAGAATTTTCTATTTTTAGTAACCACAACAACACCGTTCAGGGAAATCAAAAACTGATAAACAGAATTATGTATCTTAGTGTAGTCTACTTGTGTGCCAAGTTATATTGAAATCAGACCAAAACTGTAGGAGGAGTAGCATTTTGAAAGAATTTCATAGAAATTCCTATTTCTAGTAACCACGGCAACACTGTTTATCGAAATCAAAAACCACTACACAGAATTATGTATCTTAGTGTAGTCTACTTGTTTGCCAAATTATATTGAAATCAGATTAAAACTGTAGGAGGAGTAGCATTTTGAAAGAAATTTCTATTTTTAGTTACCACGGCAACACCATTTATCGAAATCAAAAACCACTACACAGAATTATGTATCTTAGTGTAGTCTGCTTGTTTGCCAAGTTATACTGAAATCAGACCGAAACTGTAGGAGGAGTAGCATTTTGAAAGAAATTTCACAGAAATTTCTATTTTAAGTTACCACAGCAACACCGTTCATTGAAATAAAAAACCGCTACACAGAATTATGTATCTTAGTGTAGTCTACTTGTGTGCCAAGTTATATTGAAATCAGACCAAAACTGTAGGAGGAGTAGCATTTTGAAAGAAAGAACTATATGCGGTATATTGCATATATTTGCCCCCACAAAAGTCAAATTTTGAAAACTTCCTGAAATGTGCTGAATTCAATAAATTGTATGAGAAATATAAATTAACAGAAAATATTATAGTGTCAAAGCAGTGTATTCACAGTTTTTTTTTTAATGACGTCACGAACTAGTCCGATTTTATATCCTTTTTCAGAAAGAGGACAAAATGGACAAAATTTCAACAATTTTAGCTTTAAAATTTATAGAGCGCAAGTTTGTTCAGGAACAATATTGACATATTTCATTGATATTATCATTCTACACACTATATCAAAATATTGATCCTGAACACACATGCGCTCGGTGACTTTTACTCAAAATATCGACGGAATATGTACATTCTTCTGTAAAATTCATAAAAAACTGAAATTTACGTCATGTTTGTGACGTCATTACGTACACATGGCGTCATTATTTATGAAAATATTCAGTGCTTTGAAGTCAGCATATACTCCCCTGTTTAAGAACCTAATTAAATATATCTCCATCAAAGTTTGATATGGGGTGCAAATATTGGTTATTACTGAATAAAGTTCTTTCACAGAAATTTCTATTTTTAGTTACCATGGCAACACCGTTTATTGAAATCAAAAACCATTACACAGAATTATGTATCTCAGTGTAGTCTACTTGTGTGCCAAGTTATATTGAAATCAGACCAAAACTGTAGGAGGTGTAGCATTTTAAAAGAATTTCACAGAAATTTCTATTTTTAGTAACCACGGCAACACTGTTTATCGAAATCAAAAACCGCTACACAGAATTATGTATCTTAGTGTAGTCTACTTGTGTGCCAAGTTATATTGAAATCAGACCAAAACTGTAGGAGGAGTAGCATTTTGAAAAATTGTTTACAGACAGACAGACGGACGGACGCCGGACGCATAACTATCGCATAAGCTCTTCTGGTCTCTGACCAGTAGAGCTAAAAATACACTCGAATGAGTGCATTTTTTAATACTTTTGGATTAAATGCTTTGATATTATTAAAATTTTAGATAGTGTAGACAAGATAAGATGGTCGTTATGCACATGAACACGCGTGCAATGCCTATTTTTTAAAATATATTTTGTATTTTTCTTGGAAGACCTTGATTAAGTCTAAATTCCATAAAGTATTTCTTATCTAATAGAGATAACAGGGAATATGGCACCAAAAGGGAGTTGGGGAGCGTTTGGGGAACATCTGTAATGGTCCCCGTTACAATTAGCACTAGTTATACTTGAGTTGGATTGAACAATGGGTTCTATATCTATTTTTTCCACAGATTTGTTAGTTATCTTTATGTTACCTGGATGAATTCCTTGGTTTGTAATATGGTGTATTTTTCCAGTATCTACAATCTGACACTTGAGTTCCGTCGAGGTTGAAGTCTTTACGTCACATTTGTGATCTCCGACCTTGACCTTGTTTTCCAAGGTCACGGGGCTGAATCCTTGACCCGTTATAGTTAATGTGGCACCGCCTCGTAGTGATCCTGAGGTTGGGAACACGTTGGTGATCTTACGGACCTGTACTGTGACACTGGGTATACTGCCAGAACTGTCAAATGAGATACACACCATTATCACAGGTAAATCTCATTATTATATAAGTGGGCAAATAAGACTCAAAACCCTCTAGAAAATAAAGCAACTTAAATCACTGAGAGCAGCAAATGATACAAATTTCACTACCTTTGTAAGCTAAAAATATTTTTTATTTATTACCATATTTATAGTAAGACCATCCGAAATACCTAACCAGTCATACAAATACATAAACAGTGAATTAATCAGAGCAACACAGACCTATCTACTGCATAGCCTGTATCGGTGAGGAGCCGGAGTTGGTAAGTTCCTGGGGAGAGTAACGGAAATGAAGCCTCCAGGCTGGTGGCTGTCAGTGTTGTGGGGATAATTTCTTTTCCGTCGATGTAGAGCTTTACAGTATTTAGATTGCCCCATCCACTTCCAGTAAATGTTAATTTGTGGACAAGTCCTGAACAAAAAAAGAGGCATCCATTATTTCACAAATTATGATTACCATATATTGCATACGGGCAAATTTTTGGCCCAGTTTAATTTGCCCCTTTCATCCTAAAGAGTGAGGCAAATTAAAAACAAAGAATTTGAAGAACCCAGTATAAGGTCTTCAAAAGAAGTATGACTGGGAAAATCTAAAACAGGGCAAAATTTTTTCCAAGTGTATTAAGTAAAATGGAGAAAATAACAAAGGGTAAAAATTACCTTGTATACAGTAAGCTTTAATTTCATTGTCAAATTAAACACACCCAGGAGATTTATGACCTTTGTCTTATTTTAATATTTTTTTCTAAATAGCATTTGATAATAGGCATAACATTGCTGGACCAGTCTTCATACCTCCGTCCTGAGTCTCCTGTGTCAGGGTGATGCTGCCATCGTTAATGGTAGGACCTGTATTGTAGGTGAAGGAACTGGTGGCTGACGTCCCATCTAACGACACAGTCAACGTCTGCTGACCAGCTGTAGCCTAAAACAAAGAAAGGGATACTCCTCTAACAAAGATGTAAACATCAGAAGCTTTAAAGCAAGCTAAATGAACTTATCTTGCAGCATGCATATCACTTAATTATAGAATTGTTACGGGTGATTTTGCATTTTTAAAATAAAGCAATTTTCTGTACAGAAAAAAATGAAGATTTTTATGAAATTTAAAGTTGGTGAGGAGTGTAATAATATAGATCCAGTTAAATATTATCCTGTCTACTTACTGAGCTTGGAACTTTACAGGTGATCTGATTGTATGTGGAGGACAGAACTTCACAAGGACTTCCTCCCACCGAGACACTGGCCTCAGAAGAAAACCCTGACCCCTGAATGCTGACCTCACATCCTCCTGTAATAAAACCCCCATCATTACAATCAGTTCACAGAGAAGCACACAAAACCAGCTTCTTACATTCATCATGTAATAACAGACACAACAAGAAGTCTATGAGCTAATAACCCCCCCTCTCATGTGAATACTGTAGAAGTACTTTTTTCCGCGTGGTATTAATTTACGCTATGTACGCGGTCACAAATTTTTCGCGGAAATTTGTCCAAGCGTACTTAAAATATATGTAAGGCATATAGTGAGAATCTAGAAAATCCGCGTAATTTTCTACCCGCGGATTAAACAGAAATTGAGATTCCGCGGAATTATGAACCCGTGGAAAAAAGTACGTCTACAGTATATACTATCATGTTGATATATACACAAGTTAAGTCTAGGGCAGATGCATGGATAAATAGGAAGTTGACATCCGATTGAATGAAAATGAATCCCAACATATGGTATGCCTCAGCAAAGAATGTGCTAAAATTTCAAGCATCTGCGATGAGTAGTTGCTGAAAAAACTGCAACCAAAACTTTTGTTATGGACAGACACACAGACAGACGGACAGACACACAGGGCTAAAACAGTATAATCCCATTCCTTCTAATTATAGCAAAGGATATATTTCCTTATTTACATAACAGCTACACTAAAACCTCAGTTCTAACCTCCAATACTACAGGAATTGGGGGACACGGCTGAAATTGAAATTGTCGATACAAAATCACAGGTAGCTCCAGGATCAATGACAGCTTTCCCTTTCCCTGTCACCGTGACCTCCACTGTATGGGTGCCTGCGGGCGTTTGTCCGGGGGTACAGACGATTTCTACATCAGAAGACGAGGTGACTGTACACTCAACACCAGCTATTGTCACTGCATTGTCAGCCTGATTTGTTGAAAACCCAGTCCCAGAAATAGTCAGGGTGCCAGAACCTAAAGAGAGCAGAGATTACAAACATAAACTGAAATACATCATCTTCATTGTGAATAGTTTAATTTGTCATATGTGTTCTTTTATAAAATAAATCATTGCAACAAATTCCATAAAAGAAAGTAGTACATCGATACTAAAACTGAAATGCAAATATGTACATTAATACAGAAACAGGACACGTTTTTAACTTAACACTATGATAAAATCAAGATCTTGAACCTACCAGACGTGCAGGAGTTTATAACGGGTGTAGTGGCAGCCTCCCAGACGAAGGAACAGCCAGTGGCCGAGGAACACTGTGTAGGAATCTCATTAATGAAGGCCGCCACCTGAGGAGACGAGCTGTAACCACACAACATGTCTCCCTGGATTGGGTCCAGGTTCAGTTTCCCATTAACCACTGTTTCTATCTCTATAGCAACATTCTCCCCTGACAACTGGCTAGTATACTGAAGAGTAAAAGGACAAATGACAGGATAATTTCAGCGACTCGAGACAAAGTATCTCCAAGTCATCATTTTATAATTCTATGTAAAAAGATATTTTAAACAGATTTTTCTTTTACTAACAACAATATATACTGGAAGGAATTGATGTTATTACTGTATACAGGGAAATTTTCGCCCCCGTTTTATTTTCGCCCCTTTCGCCCTCTTCTTGATTGGGCGAATTTAAAACGGGGCGAACTCAAATTACACAGCATAATTTCTTAAACAAAACAATGACTGGGCGAATTTAAAACGGGGCAAAATTGTTTGCAAGTGCAAAAGGGCGAAAATAACACGGGGCGAAAATAACCCTGTATACAGTATATATATGGCTATATACTAAAAAATTATATTACATCTGTATTTCTTGCTTTTTCATGTTACTCATCATATTACAATTACCTGGATTTCTGCAAGATCCCCAGGTTTGGACAGAAATGCTACACTGAGGTCAAAGTTTGCACAGTCTCCATGTTTGTAGGTGTATATTTCCCCCATTGTTGGTATAGTTGACAACAGAATCTCCTTAAATTCCTCTCCAGTCACAGTAGGAGAAATGGCTGAAATTAAGGAAATCTCATAAAGTGGAAACATTTTAATTCATGAAGGGGTCAATATTTGTGGGAAAAAATACATTCTGTTATAACAGCAGATTCAAAATCAGAATGTTGAAAAAGTTACCATTCATTGGAATATAAATTCATTGATCAGAGTGATTTTAAACCAGAAGTCTCTGTCGAGACTGAAGCTCTACTGGTTTGTACTTATAGCAAAGGAAGAGGAAAGTACTTAAGCAGTTGGGAATTGAAAATTTGCACAGGCAAAAAAGAGAATAATGATCCTTGAATAAGTCTCTTTATGTTCTTAGTGTCGTCTACTTGCAAGCCACATTATATTATAATCAGACTAAAACTGTATTTGAAGTAGCAAATTTGAGAGTAACAGAAATTGCTATCTTTATTAACCAAGGTAATAATGTTCATTGAAGTCAAAAACGGATATAAAGAATTATGTACCTTAGTGTAGTCTACTTGAGTGCCAAGTTATATTGAAATCATACCAAAACTGTAGGAGGAATAGCATTTTGAAAGAATTTCACAGAAATTTCTATTTTTGGTAACAACGCCAACACCGTTCATCGAAATCAAAAACTGATATATAGAATTATGTATCTTAGTGTAGTCTACTTGTGTGCCAAGTTATATTGAAATCAGACTAAATTTGTAGGAGGAGTAGCATTTTGAAAGAATTTCACAGAAATTTCTATTTATAGTAACAATGCCAACACCGTTCGTTGAAATCAAAAACCGATATATAGAATTATGTATCTTAGTGTAGTCTACTTGTGTGCCAAGTTATATTGAAGTCAGACCAAAACTGTAGGAGGAGTAGCATTTGGAAAGAATTTCACAGAAATTTCTATTTTTAGTAACAACGCCAACATCGTTCGTCGAAATCAAAAACCGATACACAGAATTATGTAACTTAGTGTAGTCTATTTGTTTGCCAAGTTATATTGAAATCATACCAAAACTGTAGGAGGAGTAGCATTTTGAAAGAATTTCACAGAAATTTCTATTTTTAGTAACAACGCCAACATCGTTCGTTGAAATCAAAAACCGATACACAGAATTATGTATCTTAGTGTAGTCTACTTGTGTGCCAAGTTATATTGAAGTCAGACCAAAACTGTAGGAGGAGTAGCATTTTGGAAGAATTTCACAGAAATTTCTATTTTTAGTAACAACGCCAACACCGTTCGTCGAAATCAAAAACCGATACACAGAATTATGTATCTTAGTGTAATCTACTTATATGCCAAGTTATATTGAAATCAGATCAAAACTGTAGGAGGAGTAGCATTTTGAAAAATTGTTTACAGACAGACAGACAGACGGACGGACGCCGGACGCATTACTATCGCATAAGCTCTTCTGGTCTCTGACCAGTAGAGCTAAAAATCCACAAACAATGGCACTACATCAAAAATGATGACTCCACAGTTACCATTCTTTATTATCTATTATAACTGACAATGCCTACCAACAGCTCCCTCACAATTCACAGTGAGGTAGATATTATTGGTTGATAACACCAAAAGAAACTACATGTAAATCCTTACTGACAGTACATACCAGCAGATTCAGTTCCCCAGTAGCTCAGTGTGAAGGTCCCTGTTACTGGGGGTGATACCACCTTAACATACACTACTATTAATACTGACAGTACATACCAGAAGATTCAGTTCCCCCATAGCTCAGTTTGAAGGTCCCTGTAACTGGGGGCGATGCTGCATGCAGGCGCTCTACAGTTACTATCAAGGCATTGACCTTTAACAAAAGAAAAAGTTTTGTTCATAATCCTTTAAAGGAAAGTTTGTTCCAAAACAAATATCTAATTTAAGTTGCATCAACTTGTGTAATCATGAAACCTACTCATTGATACATACATAATGTATGTAAGATTTATTTTTATTCCATCAATTGCAAATCACTTTAATGGTTCATATATTTTTTTCCTCATACCAATCATTGTACAGGTCAATGATAAATCAATGATTTTCCAAGTTCTTTACCCTGCCACAGCATCTAATCACAACAGTTTATCACATCCTAAACTTACTGACATTTTTCTGCATTCTTTTTGTTTGGATGGTATACATTTACAATGCATATGATTTCAAGAAAATGGTTGAAGAAATTTAAAGAAAGAGTCAAGGTAACAAAATTTTCATAAAAATTCATTGCTCTAAACTGCTAAATTTCTAAAAAGGAAAGTGAATTCAAGATAACTGAGAAGGTCAAGGTCAGAATGACACAGTGACATTGCTCTCAATGAGACTTACAGGTATCTGTGTACGGAATTCATCTGATTTCAATTCAAAGTGGCGCAAACAGAAAATAAATATGATAAACACTATGTGTCAGCAACATAATCTTTAAAATTAATTTTCATTTCACAATCAGAGAAACTGGTTGATATTTGAATTGAGTCAATAAGAAGAAAATTCATTCAGACCTGTCCTGGGACAGCACTAAGCAGAGGGAAGTCGTATCCACATTCCAGAGGGATGAATGTGATATCCACACTGAACACGGGCGGTGCATTAGAAGTCACCACTCCCTCTGTACGGTGTATCACATGACCGTTAGGCTTCACAGGTTTCAGTCGCAGTAAGTTCACATTCTCTTCAAAAGAATTATGTGAAAAGAATGCATCAAACATTTTAATTAGAGAAATAAAATGTAAATTGTCAAATCATCCTGACAAATGAAAACTTTGGCTAACTAAATACCTTGGTCGTTTGTAGTTGGTCCATTACCAATATATACCTCGTCTATGTATACATCTCCTGATCTTGAAGCCTTGATATAATGTACTCTAAACAGCTGCCCATCAGTAACAAGGTTAGTAAGTGCTGTCAGCATGTCAAAACATGTGTATTTCCACCTATTAGAATGAAAAAAATGTTATTTTTGCTTAAGGTAGTAAAGTAATACATACTTCATATCATTTAATACTTAGGTTATTAAGAAAAAGTAGAGCAGCCCTCACATCGTACACTTTCATTTTTACAATAACAAAAGACTTTTACTTTTATTGAGTAATGAATTCATACAGTGTTCATGAAGTAATGATCACCAATCATTACAATGTATCCTTGACATTTGAACTTTTGACAAACAAATGGACATGGTATGCTTCTCTGGTCATCTAATAAGCAAGATTGAGACTGCATGAAACTATGCATCCATTCAAGATAACTTCCCCTTTGAAATCGATTGATTGATTGTTGATTGTTTAACGTCCCTCTCAAGAAATTCATATGGAGACGCCACCACTTGCAGGTGGAGAGCTAAAAATTTTGTCCTATACTAGGCACTTAGGGCCATTGAGCAGGGAGGGATCTTTTTCCTGCCAGCACCTAGTGCAAAACGGGACCTCAGTTTACATGGTCTCATCCAAAAGACCGGTCTTCACATCCAACTGTGGGATTCGAACATGCGATGTAAGGATCAACTTCTTACTTCACAACTCTAGAGCAGACGCTCTAACCACTCCTTTGAAATGGAATGAAGAATTGTAGTTAATGTAGTTATTGTTAAGTCATTAATCTATTCTTACTGATCTGATTCCTCTGCGATGCTGATAGAGAACGTCCTGTACTTGTTATCTACGCTAGTCATGTCCTCCCCCGCCTTGTAGGAGTACTTTACAACCAAACCACTCGCAAGGGCTCCATGGTAGGCAAAACATATCTACAACAATTCATTCTCCTTCAGTGTTTATAAGTTACAAGAGTTTTCTAAATATCTATATCATCATTGTGTACCTTCGAAAAGGAAATGGGTTTCCAAATGAACAAAATTCAATCCTCTTAAACCACAGATACATGGTGCCAGATTTGAATAAAACTGGCATATAAGAAAGGGAAATGAGTAAAGAATGAGAAAAATTACTCAAAACAAAAACAAAGATACATAATAGACAGACCCACCGCTCGAATGATGTTCAAGTGCTGGACAATTTTTGAATAGAGAAGCTCACTTTTCTAAACCTTTGGCTCAATTGAGCTGATAAGAACTTACTGTATTAACACCTGAGCCCAGTAGCAATCCGTCATTGTTTGAGTACAGGTAAGACGGGTTCTTTACAGATTTTCTTCCACAGAAAGCCTCCTTATCATCTACAATCTGACCGCCCTGAGCTGTGTTCGAGTTGGTCTCGAAGCTGATATGTACCACCCCCGTCACTCCAAGATACTTAGGACACCTGGTGGTGAACATCTGATCTACTGCCGTTATTACCTGTCAAATAAAAGGTTTCTTGAAACAGTTTTTTCTGGGTCTTCTAATCAGGAATATAACAGTTAATGACATGATTCAGAGAGATCATTACATATTCAATGGTCTAAAGATTCAATAAAATTACTCCTCCTCAGTGAAACAAACAATTACATGAAGCTATTTCTTATTTCATAAAATATCTAAATTTGAAATTATGAGCTTCCCAGTATCAAAATAAGTTCTCATAAAGCACCTACTGAAGATTTTAATATATTTTAAGCATTTCTTTTAATATAGGCTGATAAGTAGAAACTAGAAGATTGAGATACTAGTACTTTGATCTAAAGGCAAATTAAAATAACATTTAAAATACAATACATACAGCAGTTATGTCACTACCCCCTGGAATTACAGGAGAGACAACTCCTTCCATTTGAAGGGTCAAGGTGTAGGGTTCTGGATTCCCCTTTATATCTTCTGTCACTTGGACTTCTAGTTTTTCTCCCTGGGAGCCATCATACACCAAGTACTCAAGTAGGGGAATATCTCCTGCAAATAGTCAAAGGAATTCTATAAACTTCAGCTTGACAAATCTGTTACCAATGTTGAAATTTCAGTCTTCATGGAATATACATCAAACTAGGACGAGTCAAAAGTAAATGAAAGCTTTACAATAAATCTTTACATATCAGCACATTAGACTTTTCAATTTTCATTGTTGATTACTCTTACCAGTATAGTATTTATATATTTTTACAGGGTCATACTGATTCTGTGGATCAGTCAGTTAAAATGCCAGGCCGTCAAAATGGCTTCCAAATGATTTTGAGCTATGTTTATAAGAATATGTAAATTTTTCAGTTAATTTTCTTATTATCTGAGTTAACATTTAAGCTGATCTAAAGATAACTCTAAATCAGTGATACTAAATCCCAACATGAGACGATTGATATTAAATGTACCTCACCTCTCTTAGAGAAGAACTGGATCTTCAGTGTAATCTTGAAATCTGGAGATGTTGCCTCTGTTTTGGAAACGCCGATTAATTCACCACTATTCCCGTACCATGGGAGACTCTGAACGGCTGTGGCTATTTTTATGTTATCCATATTGGTGTTCAGAGGTTCTGTAAAGAAAACAGCTTGAATAAAATCTACTACTGTATTTATAAGTCAAAATAATTCCTCTTCCTTAATCAGATATGCAATTTCATAAATTACTTATTACATTTTTAAATAAACTATACACCTGTGTTAGCTGCAGATCTGTAGTTCTCCGAAAAAATATATATTGATAGACTGGAGAGCTACAGTGCCACCCATTGAAAAAACTGTGTATTTATTGTGCACAAAAAAGTGCGCTCGATTCTTGATTGATTTTTCCAAGTTGTTACTTCAATTGCAAAAAATGGAAGATTTCAAAAAAATTACTCTCTCCTCTATCAGGTTCTCTCGTAGTTGACATCTGAACGACGCATATTGGACCGAATAATTTTTGAAACCAAACTGGCAGTATAAATAAACGAAATGTCCGATGATTGCAATATCAGGGCCAGGAGGACTATTAACAAAAATAATAAGGAATGTTTTGTTGTGGAAAGAGTCAAAGAATATGTTAGGAACACACAGTTAGTAACATTATGAGATTACATCTTAAAAAACATGGAGAAATAAATTGAGAACCGAGCACATTTTTTTGTGCACAATAAATAATTATACAGTTTTTCCAATGGGTGGCTCTGTAGCTCTCTGGTCTGTCAATAATTTTTTTTTGGAAAGCTACAGATCTGCAGCTACACCTGTGTCTCATAATTATAATTACATTTAAAAATTCCTTAAGGTATCTGATCCATATTAGCCTCAGATTCAATGGAATTGAATGCATAATAGATATGTATGGGCTGAATAATCAGTGTAATGAGAACTAATTTTCATCTTTAAGTATAAGAATGTAAGAGTGGGACATGTCCTAATTTATGACCTTGTCCTGCCCTTAACGAGTTATCTCCCTTTGATTTTACTCAATAGAAATTAATTTTAAAAAATCTTTCTGGTTAAAAAAATTATTTCTAATTGTTTTTCTATTCCTAATGATCAAATACATCTTTCCACCACAGCATTTTTTGATATTAGAAGTATTTATTTTTTTATCTTAAAAAACTTACTTCCTTCCATAGATTTCAATGCAATCTTCAATAATTAATTTCTGCTTAGGTAATAAAATTTTTGAAAATTTCTCTTGGTAAATCCCTTTCTACTCTAAAATGCTTTAAAATAATATCAGGATATTTTAAAAAGAATTGATATTTAAGGTTAGAAATTTTGGTCCTAATATGGGTCAGATACCTTAATGAGACATTTTTCACATTTATGCCCATAATGATTGTAAATCAGACATATTCATCAGTGTACTGCATTCTGCCCAGAATCATAATAATCTATATTAAGAAAATTATGTCACTGTCTGAGGAGGAGATTAATCATGTCACTGTATGAGGAGGAGATAAATCATGATGTCACTGTATGAGGAGGAGATAAATCATGATGTCACTGTATGAGGAGGAGATAAATCATGATGTCATTGTATGAAGAGGAGATAAATCATGATGTCACTGTGTGAGGAGGAGATAAATCATGATGTCACTGTATGAGGAGGAGATAAATCATGATGTCACTGTATGAGGAAGAGATAAATCATGATGTCACTGTATGAGGAGGGGATAAATCATGATGTCACTGTATAAGGAGGAGATAAATCATGATGTCACTGTATGAGGAGGAGATAAATCATGATGTCACCGTATAAGGAGATAAATCATGATGTCACTGTATGAGGAGGAGATAAATCATGATGTCACTGTATGAGGAGATAAATCATGATGTCACTGTATGAGGAGGAGATAAATCATGATGTCACTGTATGAGGAGGAGATAAATCATGATGTCACTGTATGAGGAGGAGATAAATCATGATGTCACTGTATGAGGAGGAGATAAATCATGATGTCACTGTATGAGGAGGAGATAAATCATGATGTCACTGTATGAGGAGGAGATAAATCATGATGTCACTGTATGAGGAGGAGATAAATCATGATGTCACTGTATGAGGAGGAGATAAATCATGATGTCACTGTATGAGGAGGAGATAAATCATGATGTCACTGTATAAGGAGGAGATAAATCATGATGTCACTGTATGAGGAGATAAATCATGATGTCACTGTATGAGGAGATAAATCATGATGTCACTGTATGAGGAGATAAATCATGATGTCACTGTATGAGGAGATAAATCATGATGTCACTGTATAAGGAGGGGATAAATCATGATGTCACTGTATGAGGAGATAAATCATGATGTCACTGTATAAGGAGGAGATAAATCATGATGTCACTGTATGAGGAGGAGATAAATCATGATGTCACTGTATGAGGAGGAGATAAATCATGATGTCACTGTATTAGGGGATAAATCATGATGTCACTGTATGAGGAGGAGATTACTCATGATGTCACTGTATAAGGGGATAAATCATGATGTCACTGTATGAGGAGGAGATTAATCATGATGTCACTGTATAAGGAGGGGATAAATCATGATGTCACTGTATGAGGAGATAAATCATGATGTCACTGTACGAGGAGGAGATAAATCATGATGTCGCTGTATGAGGAGATAAATCATGATGTCACTGTATAAGGAGGAGATAAATCATGATGTCATTTTATGAGGAGGAGATAAATTATGATGTCACTGTATGAGGAGTAGATAAATTAATATGTGACGCACCAAGCAAAAACCTCCCTTATCTCTATTATGACGTAACGTCAAAAGACGAGTCTAAAGTCAGCAAGGTAAATGCGACATAAAAACGTCTCCTTGAGAGAAACACTCCCCAGTAGAACAAGGAGATGTTGTTTTATTTATATGCTAAGACAGATTCTTGGGTGTAATTTGATGTAGTTTATTCATTAAGAACTTAGTTTCCGTCAAGTGTCCGTGTAATCTTTCCGTTTCACAATTAAGTGTGTATTTTTTAAAGATTTCCAGTGGTGGCTGAAAAATTCCCGTAAGCTAGGCCGTTTTAAAATGAAATTTGTTTGCCCTCTCCCTATTCGGGTTAAAAAATTGCATCAGTAGGTAGGTCGAATATTTTTTGTCGAAAACTTTCGGTGTGGAAAAAGATTGAAGGTATTTCTGAACCGAAAATAAAAGTTGTAGATAGGATGAGAAAATTCCGGAATGAATAATTTGGAAGTTTTAAAAAGATTTTAGTCAGTTCATTTTAAAAAGTCAAACAAACAAGTTTTTGAAGATTTTTTTTAAAATTTAATGTTCAGCTGTTTCATCATGATGCACATGCAAGAAAAATTTAACATTAAACTAAGGTTTTTTTTTTTTTAAAATAGCGATGCAATGAAAATTGTTTTAAATTACTTCTCTTTTATTTATGGAATGAATTTAATAGGTACCCAATTTATACTGTATAAACTGAACAGCTAACGCTGCCGTTTATATAAATAAAACGTGAACTGTTTTTGATAAATAGTTAAGTTTAGTTTTTATAAAAGTATTCTCTATAGATAAAACACAGATTTTTGATATTTGATTTGGACACTTCTTCCGGAAGTAGTTTTAGCTGTTGATTTAAAATAAATATTTTGAAGAAAGACCTTTTAAGCTTATCAATTTATTTTATTGTTGAACACCTTCTCATGTTGTACAAAAAAAAATGTAGAAAAAATCCACCCCCTTTCTCCTGTGTCACGTATCTGCTTTATTTCTTTGGATACTTCATGCATATATTGTAAGTAATAGTCCAACTATCTAAGATATTTTATGATTGAGAATTAAACTGATTGAACATATGTTTATCGACCTTTTCATAATCTGTTTGATGAGGTTTTATACACAATACGCCGAATGTAAAAATGACAAATATGATACATAGTTAAAATGTTATAATTAATATAAATTGTTACAAATTCATACACATTGTTTAAACACTTTTAAAACATTCCAACCTATTATCATTTTGTGCATGGTTTATCTACATGTACTAAAGAATATTCTGGAGTTCTGGATTGCTGAAAACAACATAATTTCGGTCATTTATAAAATCGCTGAATCAGACTGTTGCATGTACATGTTGTAACGTCTCCGGTGCTAATTCACCCCCCCCCCCCCTTTAACTTAAAACATCAATGCAGTATGAAAGTGTACATTAAACATTTTAGAGTTTAAAGATCTTTTTTTTAATGATTACCGTATATACTCGCCTATAAGTCGGTCCGCCTATAAGTCGGTTGTACTTTTTGAGCTTATTTTGCAGGGATTTGCCATTGACCCGCTTATAAGTCGGTGCAATTTTTTGGCAGAATCAGATGACAATTTCTAATAAATGCTCTGATGTTTTACTCTGATTTCAATTAATATTTTAAGATATGAAATCGATATTAAACTTTAAATAATAAAAAAATAAATACTTCCCTCTCAAGATTAAAAATAAAATAAAATTATTAAATACGTGCATATAAAATACTTATGATTTATGTTTAATCTTATAATACATAAATTATATAATGTATCCATACTTTGTTCAACGATAGCTATTGAAAATGTTTATAGAATACTACGATTCGCTATCCAGAAAAATATCTGTCTTTATATGACTCGCCTAAAAGTCGGACATAGACTTTTGGACTAAAATTTAACTCCCAAAATACCGACTTATAGGCGAGTATATACGGTATTTAATCTGTAATAATTATTTCCCCGACAGAGACTTGACTACCAACATTTCATGATTGAACATAAACCTAGGAAAATAATAATCTTGTTTCCTTCTGTTGAATTGCAATTAATGAATATGTATATGCGTTTCTAATTATGAAAATTTGCTATCAAGTACACGTAATTTATTAAATGTATACATGTAACAAACATTAACAATGTCAACAAATTTTTCCTGCAAAAGTTCATTGAGCATGTGTACACATGTACATGCATGGGCAGTTTAATGCAAAATTAGAACAAATCTGCACAAAATATGTTAGTCAGTGATAATATGCCTATATTTGTTCAAGATATATAGAAGTTGGAGGATATAAACATCTGAATATATTTTACTAAAGTCAATGATCAAAACGCTCTATATTCTAAGATAAAGGATTTATAGACCATAAAAAATACATGTTGGTCGGCTTGAATATTGCTTGATCAACTATCTAATTCATACAGCTTATCGTGTATCACAAAAAAATGAATAAATTACAACAATTAATTATTTTTTTTAAACAATAACAAAAGTTACAGCTTAATATTGTACATGTGTGTCTTGTTCTTGTTTGATTAATTCAGGTAATGAATTAAGCGTGAATGTCCATAGCTGAGAGACCCCCCCCCCTCCCGTTTACGATTATTGAAGAATATTATATTAAGAATGTTTTATCTGCTCTCTTAATTTCTGTTGCTATTTTTAACATGCGAGTTTTAACCTATACTAAAATGCAACACTAGCATTTAATATGATTAAAATAAATCATCATGTGTACATGTACTTACTCAGAAAGCTAATAGTGAAGCTTAGTATATGTCTTATTATATTCTATGTCCAGAAATGAATTGGAGAGTACGTGTCACTTGTGGGATCATAGGCATCGGAATGGGGGGGGGGGGCTTTTTTTTTTTTTGCAAAGATAGACATTATATAGGCATTGAAAATTGGGGATTATCCTTTTTTCGTTGGTTTAGCCCCCCCACCCCCCACCCCCGCTTTCAATTTGCTTCCGACGCCTATGGGGATTCATATGTATTTGGGTATTGTGGTTTGTTATTCGGCTTATGTACAATGATCGGTTCAAAATTAATTCATGATTAACTACATACATAAAAATTGCAGTTTTTTTTTTATTTAACAAGATTTGAAAATACATATATTTTATTAGGTGGGGAAGGGTGTTACATTATGATTCACTGAAAAGTATGCAGAAGCATTTAGTTAGGAAAATAATTCTAAATATATTTATTTTAAATAATTTAAACATAAATATTAAATAGGAAACGGATGGCCAGGAAAAATGAATCAATTGTTAAAAATATTACCTAGAAAAAATGATTGAACACTTTAAAATTTGATGCAACTAATCTTTATTGATTTGATTTAAACACGCATTTATGAATTATACAAACGGATTGGAAACAAGTTTGACAACTTTCAAGTTCTTCTTGTGAATTAAAGACATTTCATAAGGACACCCGAAGAAGAAAAGGATCAAACTCTACTACAAAAGACAAATACAATTTATTCTTGGGTGAAGAATATCTTTTCAATAAGCCAAAAAGTGTTCAGTATTAAAACATTTGAAACTAAAACATGTAAATAGTCAACTTGCGGTCAAAGAAATTTCTCTTAGATAGGAAAAAAACCTGTTGCACTTTTTAGAATTTCAGGTATTCAAAACATGAAATATGACAATACTTTCTATCTATTCTATGTATTGTATAGACTTTTAATGCCCGGGGGGGGGGGGGGGGGGGGGGGGGGGGGGGGGGGGGGGGCTGTCTGGAACTTTTTAAAGATAAATACTTTGATAGTGTAACAGAGACAATTAAGTGCCTCTGCTTAATTCGGGGCCGGGAACCCGAGGCCGCTGTGCTTTACCGATGAGCTTAAGGGTTAACCCACTAGCCCAAGCGAGTAGGAAGCCGTAGATGTGCCGTTTGTACCGCCACAATAGGATTTTTTAATCCAAATGTTGCTTATTTTCTTTTGCTATTGCAGTGATGTACATTTCTGCCATTTTACTGCATTAAAAAGCCATAAATTGTAAGATCTCCCAGAGGAAGAGAAGATTTTTGATTTTGTCTTGAGTTTTGCTTTTTTCTCTTGACGATTATTTCGGTCCACCCCCCCCCCCTCCCCTTCCTGTCTTTCGTTTCTCAAAGATATATTTTAGAATGTTTATTTTCTATAATTACGATGAAAAAATTCTTGATTGTTGATACTTTTAAGGGAATCAAATCAAAAGTTTAATGATATGAATATCATCAAATTATTATATAGCTTAACGTCATTTTACGATTTTACGTTATGAAATTCATGCAGTTACGCACGGGTACACTGTACATCAAAGTTAATATTCCGTGTTTGTCATGCGCTCTTTTATACATTAATATACAGAAATATATGTCATGTTATATATCAAATGAAAGAGAAAGAAAATCTCTACAAGAATCAATAAAAAACTGAAAATGTCAAAATTCTTCGTTAAGGGAGGTTTTTGCTTGGCGCGTCACATATGTATTTTATTCTGAGAACATATTTGTGGGCATAACTGTATAAACTTCATATGTGCTTATATAGATTTGATGTGTACTCAAACACAATGTACATGCCATAAATAACCAGTCCATATCTGTGGAATACCTAATAGAAAATTACTTATTAACAAATCAATAATATACCTGTGTAAACCCCATACAGTCCCAGCCTGAAGGTAGCATCAGAATACTGGCCACTTAGTTCCTTGACTTCCACCATTTGTACTTCATTTATAATACTTCCAACAGTAGTACCTAACCCCAGTGATATTTTCTGTACCTCACGAACAACTGTAGATCTCACCTACAAAAAGGGAACACAGTGAAACTTAATGAAAGATTGGAAACTGGTAAGAATAAATTAATAAATCAGCCAATCCACAATCTGCTTACTACATTCATAAAAGTTTTTCCTCTCGAGATTAAACTGAATGTAAGTTTAACATAAATTTTAAACATCAAAATTTATATATTTTTCATCTTTACAATTGTTTATATACCTACTATTTATCATGATTATGAAGCAAGTAGTATGAAATACACTAACTTTTTGTTCTACTCAGAAGAGTACTCTTAAATATAAATATTTCTGACCTCAAACTTTCAATGCATGACTTCATGAGTAGTTCCTGCAGTATGAATTTTCAAAATTTTTGCAGAGATAATTATTATGCTTTTATAAAATACCAATGCCTGAGTGTCATTTTTATATTGATCAGAATAGCTCACTTGAGCTTTTAGTTCAAGTTCATGAGCTAAAATGTTTCACAATGGTAAAATGTCTGTTTTTAATCATAAATTGTGCAGTTTTAAGGTTGTTGAAAGGACATCAGAAGCTTTGATGCTTTTACCTTTTGTCAGACTTGAAGAGTAGACAGAGATGAACACAGTGATCTGAGAATATACACTTTGATGAAGAGGCCTATTCAACGTGTTGTTATATGCTCATGGAATTTATTGAGACTCAAGGGCCATAACACTTGCCTGAGTCAGTACTTATCTAAGAAATATCAGACCTTCACTAATTGATGTTCCACATCAACTATTCCTGTGCTCTGGTTGGTCAACTTTGTGTCATAGAATTGAGTGGCTACTTGAAAAGAGGGGTCCCCACTAGATCCATGTGAATGTAAAATCTCCATGTAATATCTACAATAAATCAACTATACAGTAGATCCATGTGAATGTAAAATCTCCATGTAATATCTACAATAAATCAACAATACAGTAGATCCATGTGAATGTAAAATCTCCATACAGTATCTACAATCAATCAACACTGTATCACTAAACATTGATTCTGAGACATGTGACTCTCTGAACAATGATTTTCAAAACAGAAGTCTTGCTTTGAAATTTTTCATTCCTATAGATAAAGAGCAGACGAGGTTTCTTAGTCTACACATGTGAGTGAGGGAAATTTCACTCCAAGGAAAGAAATATTTACAGTTTGATACTGATTGATATCTAAATAATTTACATCTTTTGTTGACTTCCATTTAGATTAAGAGCTAGCTAACTCACTTTTGCTGTTCCGTTAGGGTTACTCTGGCTGAGGTTTGACCTGGTGTTGATGAATACTCCGGACAGGTGCCCTCACACTTAGCTATTTCTACCTGGAAATCCACAAACATATATATATATATAATCTATGTGAAGTTACAAAATATTCCTGTATTTTCAGTGCATTTCTTTTTCTGGTGTAATCATTTTTGCTACCTGGTCATTCTCAAGTGTTAATTGTACTATATTTGGTACATTCTGTATAGTTAAGATATAGTTTTAAATCTGTACCATCAAACCATAGTATGTTCAAAAGAAGATATTTATGTGATATATGATAAGGAAAATGGCCTTTATTTCATAAAAAAAATATGTGAACATTTCTTGTCTGCAAGCAACAGTTAAAAAGTAAATTGAATCTGATTTACAAATAAAAAAAAAAAAACTTAGCATGAAAAAACTCTTTTCAGGTCACTGGTTACTTAAGACGGACAGACAGACAAAGTGATTACTCTGGGGCTTCAGCAAATCCTTGCACTAATAACCTGTATTATTGACTGTTACAGGTGTTTATTATAAATAGAACTGGAATATTGGGTAAAAAATCCTAAATATGAACCTTGTTAGCTGGATTCATGTCTGTGCTCAGTCTGAGGCTTGTTACATCCGCTGATTTGATCGTGAAGGAATACTCTCCAGAGTAGGGGGCTGTGAAGAAACCTTGCGCTCGAGATACGTAATTACTGGCGGCATGACTGAAGTAAGACTGACCGGTCTGGTGGACACTGTAGCCGGCGTCAGAGCTGGTCAGGGCTTCAATGTCTACAAGGTCAGCGTAGGCTTTAGTCTGACCAGTCCATACCTCTAAAGTCAGTCCTCGGTTACCTGTGTTATAAATAACAGTGATGTAACTTTCCATTTCTTTTACACATGTAAAACCACTGACTGTCAAATGCAATAAAATGAACTGATTATTTTTCAAGTTTCAGCTTTCTGATCAACTTTCTAAGAGGTTATATACATCAACAGTTAGCTATTTATGTTCGTTTTATATTTGTCAATTAAAGTACATAAATTATTGGATAAAGTCAGCTGAATAGAGTTTTTTTCTGCTATACATACCACAGAAATAAGTTGGTAAAGTGGCAGGTTTGGGAGGGGTAACACACTGTATCTCTGTATCAGTGACTGAGGTGACCTCACACAGAACACCTGAAACAAATCAATGACATCTTTAACATTTAGTGGTTATCAGATTTCTACTGAGTGGTTGAGAACTAAATGAAGTCTTCATGAAGACTTTATTTTTTGTTGAATAATGGAAAATTTTGAAAGTTAAGGCTGTGGCTCACCTCCAACATAGACCTTTGTGTTTGCCATGCTTCCTGTGAAATAGTTTCCTGTGATTTTGAGAGTTGTTCCCCCTGAGGTGCTCCCAGTGGCCGGGGCTACCCCTGCGATTTCAGCGTAGGTCTGGAACTGATAAATCTGTTTGTTGATGCTGACCAGCAATGTGTCCAAATTACGACAAGACCTAAAAATCAAATGAAGACATGTTTAAATAAAAACATTTTTTAGCAGTTTTAAAGTACCATTAATGTATTCATTAAGTAGTTATTTTGTGGATAATTTATTGTGCAATTTAAACATGATTTTGAAAACATTTATATGACATTGTAGCAGTATTAAAGGTGGTTCAGTTTTACATTGTATTGTAAAGTATTTTCAATGTTTGCATGACTAAAGACAAGACTGCCAGAAGAAACAAAGTACTGAAAAGTTGTTTAAAGGTTCAGGATTTGGCATGTTCAGTATTTCAGAAATTAGGCAAGTAAAGATTTTGTCCTAGTAAATTTAATATGTTCTTTTTTAGTAAGGGTGTGAAAGTTGACAAGTTGAAAATTTGTTGTTTTCAGTCAACTTAGGCAATATTTTCATATTGTCAGTCTTCATGCTTACAGTATATCTAGTGTTGAAAAAAGTATCTACACATATGTTGTTGTTTTTTTTTTTTTTTTTTGAATCCTTTTCTGGAATCTCTGAAGTTTTAATGAACTTCTTACCTCCCAAATGGTCCACCACCAACAATAAAACTGGCATTGGAATTACCTTTAAAAAAGACGAGAAAAAAAATACATATGTACATGTATATATATAAAGAATACATCCATCCATATATCAAACCACTGATCGAGAGTCTACAAAAAATACATCTTAAAATTAACATTTATACATGTATGAGTATCTCATTACATTACCTGTACTAAACTTAAAAATGCTTTATTTTCTTCATTTACTGACTTTCAAATTCAGACTTGAATATTTTCAAAGGAGTCTCTAGTTTGGAGTGATTGAATTTTGTATTATGTCTCATTTATCATTAACTGAACATAAATGACCAAATGTGTAAATAATACCAGTGTATTACTTACCAATAAAATTCCCCTGGTACCTACACTTCATTGTACCATAATCAGATGAAGATGAATCTAGCTGAAGACCATAACTGATAAACAAAAACATTAAAAAATTGATTCCATTTTAAAATTGTGTCCTAATATTCTGGCCTCATCCTAGCTCAACAGAAACATGACTTAACCTAACTTGTATCCACACTACATTTGGCTCTGACTATCATTATGACTAACTTAGTCTTCTGTTCCTTTTTTTTTTGTTTTGTTTAGTTTTTTTTTTTTAATTTCCATGTTTTTAAGTACACTGTATTATGTAGACTCTTTAGCCCCCATACAAAAAGTCCATAAATATTTTCAATTGAAAAAGGTTGTGGCTCTTCAACTACAAAAACTTGAACCCCATTCACTCAAGGATGATTATAGTAAAATTGTTGAATGTTATACTCACAAAACATCAGTTTCACCAGTTTTTATCAGATCACACAGAAGAGGGCCTGCATAAACCCGATTGATAGTTTCTTCTCTGCCATTTGAACTTGTGGCCACATTGGTGGTGTATCTGTCTGTGAACATCAGCGCCCTCATCTCCAAAATAGACTCCGGTCCCGGGGGAAAGGCAACAGGTGTCACACTGTTTATCACAGGAGTGTTCTGTTTTCTAACCTGAAATTTTAATATAATTTTATCACTGTACAAATACTGTAAATCACTTTTTATTTGCGAGAACTTTATTTTCACGTAATTACACGAGACAGTGTGCTCGCGAAAATTTAATTCTTGCATATAATAGTATTCCTTAGGATTATATAGAGCAATAACCACAATTCGTGAAAATTTTGTCTCTCTTATCAAGAACCAATGCCTATCTCGTGAAAATAAGGTATCGCGCAAATTTAGTAATCTACAGTACATAATTATCAACCTCAAAATATTTCCGAGATGGATTTAATTTAGAAACATTCTGACACTTACCTCAAACTGACAGTCACTATCCACTGAACCTCCAGTCTTACACAGTTTGTCATCAGGAATAGGTACACCATCCACAGTCACTTTAACAGTATACACCCCCTCCACCATTCCAGGCCTGGATAAACAGAAGCCTCAGTTTGTATTTAATGAAATACTGTATTACCGGTGCATATTATATGGAAGAGGGGGTATAATGTATATTTTTGATCTTACTGATGCCTGTATAACATAAAGATCAGCAATCAATGAATATTTGCTTTGCATTAAAGAAATGAATTGATGATCTAAGAAATCGGCACAATTTCCTACCTACAAATTGAACACAAATTGTGATTCTGCGGAAGTATGGAAAATAGTATGTTTACAGTATCCTCTTACATAGAATTTGTATGTCTGACTAAATGGCTTGTAATATGTAGTTCAAATTTTGGAATTTGGGAACATATTTTTAAAATCATTGTAAAAACAGAAAATTCTTAAACTGAAAGCAATGTGGAAGAAGTAAAAAAAATTGTAAAGAACATTTTTATCCGCCTGCTTATTTTAACATTGACTTACACAGTGTAACACATGATCGAATCTTCCATGGTTCCATCTTTGTTGACCAAACATTCGTATGAAGTAGTAGCTGACACAAGTTCAACCTTATTCCCTTCATTTAACTTGTCCAGGGAAAATTTTTTACCAGAGATTGTAATTCTTGTTTCTCCACACGCACTCCCAAAGTGAGGATTAATGGAGAAAACCTCAGGCCCTACACATACAACAGTGAAATGATCATTAAAAAAACATAATTTTAAGATTTGAAATTGAAATTTGAAGGGATGTGATTTTTTCTGCTATAGAAATCCTGAAGCTGTGGCCCTGGTTCTGTATGTGAATGTACAATCTCCACTGACTGCTTTTATATCAAACAATACGAGATCTGTCACAAAATTGGTTGTTTTTTTATTTTGTCAAATATTCCTGATTGTACACTTTTTCTTGCTTAAAAACATTAAGTCCGAAAAATCTGATGTTTCCTTGGCTTTTTTATGATTTTGATATTTTACATGCTAGTTTTCCTGGCTTTTTTATGATTTTGATATTTTACATGCTTGTGAGTTTTCCTGGCATGTAAAATATCAAAATCGTAAAAAAAGCAAGGAAAACGTCAGATTTTTTGGACTAAAAATATTAAGAACCTGCTACACTTATTTTAAAAAAAAATCTTTCCTGAAGCTACAGAACACACTACAAGATGTTTCACACATGCTTCGTTATAATTTTTTTATATCCAGAAAAATATGTTTTCATAACAAAAAATTTACATTTCAGTTCATGTACCCAGGTAAATAAGAACTTACCAGTATTTACGTTTTCATCAGGGGCCATACACAGGTTGTTTGAACACGTATACTCAGAAGGACAAGCAGAACAGGCAGTCCCAGTCAGGTAGGGACGCTGGTTGTTAAAATTTCCCCTGAAAATAATTTCAATTGCTTTAACAATACTACATAAAATAATTTTGAAGAAGCATTCTTTGAGGAGTAAACAGAATATTAATTCTGTCCCTGTACATTTTTCATGTCATTTAAATCTCAGCTTCAGGTATTTCTTTTGAAAGGGATATTTGAATTGGTGTCTGAACCACGCTGGCAATTGGTGAAGGCATCAGTCCAAATACAAATAACAAACTGAGCTTAATCTTCTAATTAATACGCTTACCCTGGGCCGTAGTTACAAACAACAATTGTGCCTCCATCGAAGGCGGAGCCTACCCCTGTGAAAGAGGAACATGTGTGTGCTGCACAGCCTACGTATTCCGAACTGGCCCATACCACCTTAAGGAAAAGTTCAAATATTACACCTCTATACAAACAAAAAGGAAATGCAATTTATTTTATATCGTAATAGTTCCAGATGACGTTTGTTTCATGAAGTTATTTTTCTTGCTTAAATTAATAAAAGAAATAATGAAATAAAGTGTTGTACCTGGGTGTAGTGTCCACACACAGCATTGCAGGTGTTAGAGCTATAAGTATAGTCACTTTTCTCATCATCCCAGCTCTGAACCACACTAACTGGATTAGCTGAACCTGATATCAACAAAAATCTGGATTAGCTATACCCGATATCAACTAAAATCTGGATTAGCTGCAATTTCATGCATATTTTCAAATTGATTTAATTGATTACTGTAAACCAACTTTTATTCGCGTGTGAGAAATTTTCGCGAGGTTCGAGAGACCCTCGTAATCATGAATATTTATCACTGCAAACCGGTCCTTCAAGTCTCTATGACTATTAATTACAGATATAAAAAACTTATTCGTGAAAATTAATAGTCGCGAAGTAGATTAGTAGTTTACTCCTGGTTAATCGCGAAATTAAGTTGTTGTGAATAAAAGTTGGTTTACAGTAGTTTATCTAAGTGTAATTGATGGCTTTGATTGCTAAGTTGCAATCACCCCAATAATTGAATGTTCCAGCATTATTCATGCATGAGTACATTCCACTACTTATGATACTTCAGAGATGGAAAACACAAATTTTAAAAGACTTGTTTTATTTTTAATTTTGATTGATAAAATTGTGTTTGATTGACAATTCAAGGACGATAAGAACCTTTTAGTTCATAACATTTTTAATTCATTTATTACAATCTTAAATTATTTTTTTTTATTTATTTTTTGAAAACAAAAAAGAAAGAAACGCAGTAAGTAATTTGTGTTATGTACAAATCAGATTGAAACTATAACAACTGAACAAATGAAAGGATATATCTTTGATATTAAAGTACAGTAAAATTTGTTTCCAACATTCATTGCCAAGATTTTTATATAAATGTGTTCCTAGGGAAAAATCCTCCAAGTAACTAGGTACTCCTTAAAAAAAAATTAGAGGTTAACTGGTCAAGTGTCAAGTTTGAAGCATACTCACTTTGCGAGGTTAAATACAAATTTTCTCCAACGTAATTGAAATCTGATGTTAGAGCCTGTGTCTCCGTCGTCCTTGCTGCATTGTGTCCCCAGATACATTTCTTTGCGTAGTTTTCTGCCACGGTGGCTAGAGCATTGCTCCATTTCTGGATTTGAATAGAAATAGCATTTTAATTTTCTAACCAAGAAAAGTTCATGCAGGTATTGAATGACTTCAATATCAATTAAGGCTTTCAGAATTGTTAAAAATAATCTGAAATCTGTAGTTTAAAAAAAATTATCAAAATAATTTAAAACAAAAACTGTTTTTCGTGCAACATTTTTAAAAGTAGGGCTGGGCAATAATATCGATATTTCAATATATTGCTATACAATGACACAAAATATCGTATCGCAGTACGATTTTGTAATATCGATATATTGGCAATATGCTTAGATTAAGGAATTTTGTCATTAAGTATAAGAATAGACTTATGAAAGTTTGTTATTAAGCCAAACAGTAAGACAGAAGTTTTGTGGGAGCATTTCAGAGCATAACTTAGATGAAATCAACAAGATTTTTTTCCGTGTTCAAGGTTACTTATCACAGTTATGTACATTTTGCATGTAAATTAAGTAAATATGGTAAGAAGATGCCATTTTAATTACATTGAAAATATTGCAATACATATCGCAATACAATTTAAAATATCGCAATATATCGCAATACGAAATCTTGGGCCAATACCCAGCCCTATTTAAAAGAAAATTAAACAGTGAATAAAGTAATTTACACAACAAAATAAAGCAGGGGTTGAGTGCAAATAACACATGTACCAGGTACAGGTACCTATGTCACATTAGAGAGGTTTAGTTACACATTTTGTGGCAAACTTGTACACATGGCATCATCATTTGTTGTGTTCTTCGACATCATGAATTCAAATCTGACGTGTAGCTACAAGTTTTGGAGCGTGCAATAGACTACATGTATCTTCACATACGACATAAACAAGTAAAGTTACCTATTTAATTCTTTATTTCTCGATTCAGTTGATTGATTTTTTCAGCAATAAAACAAGAACAGGATCTAAATATTTAATGAATGATAATTCAATGATTCCATCAAAAACTTTGTATTTTTAGCAATGAAAACTGATACCATGCAAGCAGCATTATTTTGTGCGCAGTATTCATTTGAAGAAAACCCCACCCAAGCAATAAAAATCCTTCGTGGTGAATTTTTCCTTAATTTTTTATTCAAACCCCATTCTGACACTTCTAATGTTATAATCTTTAATTTTTATTTCAAATAAAATTTTTCCTATAAAATAACATGTACCTTTAGCCTATGCATTTTAGGACAACAAAAAGAATACCTTCTCTCCACTTACAAATAAGTAAGAAATTGTCAAAGGTACTTGAAATTAACAAAAATATAACTCCACACCTAATAAGGTATGGGTAGTATGTTTTAATAAGAACAATATGTTATGTCAAGTGCCTGTGGAAATTGTATCTAATTATTAACTATTTTTCCCTTTTATACTAGCAAATACTATTTATTTGTAAATAGCAAACATGTAACAAAAAAAGTAAAAACAAAAAAGGGGGGTCTGACACATATTTTGATTATAACAATGAATCAGTGTATTAAATTTTATTCCATGCCTCCTTTCTAGACATCATTATGATTGAGCTCTTACATTTTATCCTTTTCGAAAGTTTTTCTTTTTTGTTGGACCCCCCTCCCAAAAGTGCAGAATGTGGTCGCTTTTTATTTTTTTGTTGTTGTCAATATGGTATCTTTATGACTGCCCCCATTTTTTAAAGTGTTGCAGAAAAGCTTATCCTGTAGAGATAAACAAAATATTTAGGGTTTCACTGCAGTGAAATGACAATACATATAATAATTATTCATTATTTTTCATATCTATGATTTTCAATTCACCTTTGATTTTTCTAAATTAGAAATCATAAATACAATGCCTTACAATTAATTTACTGTACTCAACTTTCTTGAAAATTTGCATGCACATGTATGTAAAACTAAATCATATTATTGACGTTGATATCAAATATAACTTGTACATCAAAGTTTCGTGTACATGTTGTTATGTCACTTGTAATTAAACCTCTCTCTTATGTGACACATGCATCTTATATATGATATTAATTAATGCCTGTGAACAAATAAGCATTCAAAATGTCTGGTCACTTTCTTGCAAATGAAGGAATTGTCCTGGTAGCAGAACAACCAGTCTGACAATTAATGGCATTGTTAATCCCTGGGTGTTTTCAACTATGTTCAACTCAAATGCTAAAATTAAATTTTTTAACTTTGATAAAATATGGATGTGTCTCACCATTTTCAACATATTAGTTGCTGTTGGAATGACACTAGCCCTGGCATTGTTGTGTGCATCTAAATATTGCTGTTGTGTAGCGGCGGGGGTTTCTCGTTTCTGTCGAGGGCTGCGTACCACCCTTGTCCTACCCTGGGGATTGCTAATCTGGAAAAGATGTCCAGAATATATCACCACTTGTGCAAATGAAACATCACCAAGCTGAAAAGAATCTTCACTCTTGTCAAACATGTCCTATATATTACTGTCACAGATTAACTCCATGACCTACCTCCAGTCCCAGCGAGGGGTCATCCTCAGCAACGCTTACTCTATATACCTCAGAATCCAAAGCACCTGCACATTAAAAGAAGAAAGTGTGCAAATCATAATACTCACTTTATATTCTTTGTTTAAAAAGATTTTATATCTATGGTTCTGATTCACACCAACTGTAATTCTATTACATGGAAAAATTTTGTATCTTTCTTTTGCAGCACTTTATCAAGTGGTGTTATGAAGAGTTTGGTCTTTTTTGTATCTATAATGTAGGGGTATCAAGTACTTTCATCTTTTGAATCAAAGGAGATATCAAATTACACATGTGTATTACCTGTGATAAGACCTTTCTAAATACACTTCTTTCAGTATCATTTTTTAAAAACCCTACCATTTTACCTTCTTTTAATGCACATACTGCAACCTGTGCATGTTGAGATGGGGTAAGGGGGGGGGGTAGCTAACTAATCTCAGCGAGATTCGGGCTAAACCTACACCCCGTCTTTGCAAAAAAGGGGACTAAGCCCTCCCTAGCCCCCCAGGCCCCTCCGTTTCTGACACCTATGATTATCATTCTTAAGAACCCTCTCTACACTGCACACTAAAGAGTTCTGATTCTATAGTATTTTTTTGCAGTTAGAGTGATCTGCCCTTAGATCTAAATTTTTTAAATTAGAAATTCACAGTTTATTACACAATTTGAATCAATTCAGGTATCCTTAACATTAATTGAACATGTTATTTACATGTATTTTCTCTATGGAAGTAAACAACAGTGATTTCTATTCACTGATACTGTGTTGTGTTTGATTATTTTTCCTGGGGCCATGGGGGTAAATGCAACGCACCATATGTTGAAAGTCATATAAATAAGCTCAACACCTTTATAGAATATATTTTTCTCAGTATCCAAAAAACATTTTGTACTGGTGTAGAGAGGGTCCTTAAAGACTGGAGTAAGATAAAGATTGTTAAACCGATAACCTCTCTGTACTCACATCCTCAACAGCCCTTGGAAATAATGCTACACGTGAAATACTAATTGATTTAAAAGTGTTTTTCCAATACTGGCTATAAAAATAGCTGGCAAATACACGGAAACGTGTGAAAGAAATGGAGGATGGAAAAGCTGAGTACCATGACTTTCGTAAGTTAGCAATTTTCCCGCACCGGATGTCAAATACGAAATGTAAAGCGGGAATTGAAAATGGGCAATAAATTTCCCGTAAAACCACAAGCGCACGTTGTTTCATACAGTACTCTAGTTTTCTACTATACGATAACGTAACAAAATATGTTAGGGTTGAATCTAAGAAATTTGGTTGGGTATGATTTTTTTGTAGAGATAAGAGATCTAAAAAAAAAATAATTATTTTTCTTGAATTTTTGTTTAAAGTAAGATATGTAAATACTTTTAGTGTTAAAATATCTTTTATAGTATAAGCAAAGTTACTGCACATTGTGTAAAGTCTTCTTTATAAGTTACTGTACAGTGTTTAAAAGCCTTTTTAAATCAAATTTTAGTTTGTTTATCACTTCTAATTTTATTTTTACTCTACTACATTAGAATAAGTTTTAGTGACTGTTTTTTCATCACTTTACTCCTTTTAATTTTAATTTCATGTCTTTTATAAAACCACCTTCTTGGGACACAGGCACTTGTTTCATATACGGGATACCCCCTACTTAGTAAATATAAGTACGGGGTATCCCGTATACGAAACAAGTGCCTGTGTCTTGGTAGTTAGAATAATCTAACTGTGTCTCGGTACAGGCCCTCACCACAGTTAGAATACGTCCCATATACTTGTAATGTAGCAAATCGGAGCGGATCCGCTCCGAAACGATTTTGAAGAATATAAAATGATTTGCACAGGGAATAACTACCAAAATAATCAAAACAAACCTTCTTGAGATTGCTTATGCCTTTTATCCCAAAAAATAATCCATATAAACCGGGTCCGTAGGACAATATCATTTTAACGATAGAACATTCTATCTAAGATATCTCGTGCGGCTTGACGTTCGAAGTGGCTGATCTCAAGTGTTTTTGATGGTACAACTTAGATAGAATTCTAACTAGTGTCTTGGGTGCTCCTTATACATAGGAGGGAACTCTAGTACTGAACTGAACTCTGCCGGCCAGGGTTTAAAACGTTAGGCCTGGGATATTCATAAGTCTTACCTACTCATAATTATCTTGAAAAATTATTTGGAACCTTTTTGAAACTTTTTTGTTCCCCCGCTTTAACTGAAAGTGCTTGATATTAATTTCGGTTTTTCTGTCCATCCGCCTGTCGATCTGTAATAACATTTCTGTCTGTAACACAACATCGTCGCAAACCACGGGTTTTGAGTTCGCAAGCTAGAGAATCCGCGTAAATCATCTGTGGGTTACTGACGATGGTAACACAACTTTACACAACAATTCTGAGGTTAAAGGTCAAGGTAATTAATTCATTATCGGCCGCAGCAACGGCTGATCTATTTGTGGTTGTGTTAGAAAGTGCACATGGGGAAATGAGATGTTATTATTTTATTAGTTCAGTAAAATAATTCTCAAATGATTACATTATAAAATCATGAGTAAAATATTTTAAAAACTTACTTTAAACGTGTAATTATGTTTCAATTTCATTATCATTTCGCATCAGATAATTGATAATTTATGGTTGAATAAAAAGAGTTTACAATAGGAACTCTCCATCCTGAGAGTGTGTAACATACAAAAGGATACAGTCGTGATTTTCCGGATAATAATGACGTGGTAAAAGTGCATGGTGAATAAAAAATTGAAAAGTTGCTCAACTAATAAAAACTTGTTTGAATATGCTGTACACCTGCGAATGACACAAAGATTATTTTTATACATTTTGCACCGCGCCATGCAGCATAGCCTACTCTGCATGCAGAAACCAGTGACAAAAATCCAGGGTATCAGCACGTGGTTCATCTTAAGATGCATACATCTTTATTTTGATAACAATAACTCCTCATATTAATCATTGACCTTTTTTAGATCGATAAATTCATTTAATGAGCAAATGAACTAAATTTGTATATAATTTTAAAAAAATTATTATTTAGTTTGCTTTGAAGAAGTCATGAAATAAAAATGATCACTATTTCAGCTTTGAATATCCTGTGCTTTCCTTGCATGGATGCTTTGAATTGTGAAAGTACTTTTTTGACATGCTAAATTTTGTTAGCGGCCGATTTGATGCTTTGCATCAATTTTACTTGTAAATTCTATGTTTTAACACTTTCGTTTCAGCGCGATATTTAGCTGCAGAACTGTAGCTCTCTGCTTGAAAAAATTCGGACAGATAAAGCACATGAAGCAGAGAGCTACAGATCCAAGCGTTGTAAAATCCTCCGATTTACGCCGATGATTTTTTTTGTCGCTCACTACGGGTATTTTTTTTTTTTTTTGTATTTTATACTTTGCCAGCTTTGAAATTAGTTTTAAGTGGCATTTAACAATTAATCATACATTAATATTCCTGATAATTTACTTACCTCTAAAAGCTAACAAAATTTAATGGGGGCATGATTAATCTTGATAAAATATTTTTTAAATTTGTTATAGAGAGTGAAAAAAATCTTTTTCGTGTTGTGTTTTGACAGACCTTCTAATAACTTCTCATTTTGATTAACCTAATATTTTATTGTGAATATAGTATGAGAATGCTCAGTGAGAACCCCGCCCCTTTCACACACGCATACTGGTATTTTTTATTAAACGTTGTCTTCAGTCAAATCAAATCCTTCTACGTTAATGCTGTTTTTTTTCTAAATGTCTGAAAAAGTTGGAATCTGCACAGCCGCCCCCTCTCCCTTCAACAATACCCCGACAAAAATAGGATTTTATTGTGTGGGCAATTCCCTAGGTTCAGTCGCGGATCTAGACATTTTTCAAAGGGGGGAGAAAAGAGTTGTTATAAGGTACATGTAAGTTTAATAACTTAATAGGATACAGCGGTATACTATGGTTTTTAAAAGTGGGAGGGTGATCACCCTGGGGAAAAATTTGTATGTATTACCTTAGAGTTTTTGACAAAGAAAGGAAAAATAATAAATCTCCGAAACTGAAAATCCTTTTTAAGCGGTTAGCTTCGCTAACCGCTTTATGGCATGTGTCCGATTTTAATCGACACCGGAAACTTCCATAAGGCGCTACCTATCGACAACGGAAACTTCAACAAAGCCTCTACCTAGTACCTATGATTTGTTTCTAACACATATAACATATGTTAAATAAAATCAAGACTATCAAAACAACATAATCTTTCGGTTTTTTAAATTTTTTTCTGATTTTGTTTGTCAATGAAATAAATTTATAATTGTTGTATTAAAAAAAGTTTATGTATAGGAGCATTTGGTGTCGAGATTAAATTTCCGTGACATCAGCTGATGGCGATCGGGCCCTGTGACGAAATTCGAAGTCAGCATGAAGTTTAGCTGATAACATTACCAACGCGTTAGATTTAAACTTTAGGAAGAAATGTATAGCGAGAAATATCATATTTGAACCCAGTGCTACACGAAAACCAGTAGGCATTTCCGATTTATGTGTTAAATTGAAGCCTGAATCGAACAGGTGGTCAAAATGGCGTTGGACACCTTGTGTATTTATATATAGAGGGGGTAGAATGTTTCGATATTTGGCTAATTTAGAGACTTACTGATAAAAATGCAGGTGCCTGTGATTAATTATAAGGCACCCCTCATGAACAATAAATATTTGACCGAATTATGCTACTGGGCACAGGGAGGACGGGTTAATTACTGGCTAAAGGGGTTGAAGGTTATTACCGACTGCAAAACATCGGAGAATCTCTCGATCGAGTTTCATTTTCCAAAATATTAAGGCATCCCTTTAATTAACTTAAGTAATACTAGTACACGAAGAAAGCCTTTATATAAAAATACTGAATACATCTGTAAGTTGTACAGTTATGGATTACTTCCATAATGAAACGTTTGTTTTCTTCTCCTTTTTTTGTCAATTGAAATCATTTAAAAGATGATAAAAGCTTTGTTTCCAGGGATAAATTCTGTACTCAGTCTAATTATTACAAACGATTTTAAACGATCACATTTTTATTCAAAAAAAAAATAATAATGGGAGCCTGAAAATACTAAAATTAATTCTAAAAAATTGGAGAAAAAAATTTAATCGGCATTCGATCCTTTTCTAAAAATCAGCCGATATAAAATATGCACAGAAAAAAGAGGCATGAAAAATCTTGACGATAAGCACAAATTGAAAATTATATCTAATGAATGATTATTTTTGAAAGTTTGCTAAATTCCTATGCAAGGTATAAGTTGTAAAAATACTTTTTAAATTTGAATTTGTCCATTATCATTTTGAGCCTTTGAGAAGAAATAAAAATTAAGATACAGATGCTTACAGATATATTGAGAGAAATTCGCATACTTGTTTTTAGTAAAAAAAAAAAAAAAAACAAACAAAAAACAATGTATTGCTTATGCGACATATTGAAGAAAGTGACAATGATACCTAGGTAATTTTTGCAATGGACAATTAAATTGTTTGTTATACACTGACTTTTAGTGAACCTTTGAATTTTTGAAATATTTTTTTTTTTTTTTAACAATATTTCATGAAAAATATTTGCCAAATACTCAGTATATGTTCGTTTATACACTGCATATCGTGCAAGACTCTGTTTTAAATAATTGTCATACACCATTTACTTATTCGAACATTTAATTGTATGAAAAGTCAATAATGTACATTTCTTAAAACTTTATTATCTTGTTTACTTGTCTTTCTTCCTGTGAGAGAAATTGTTCATAATATTAATAAACAGATGTACTCAGTATCTGTATCAAAATACAGAATGAACAGTGATCGGTCTCAAAAGAAAAACGGATCCTTGAAAGTTCCGGTGCCTAGGAGAAGTAAGCATCCCCGATGACAGGTCACACCTGCTGACCCGCAGTGAGCCTACGAAACTGAAGCTCTCTGAAATTAATTAATTCTCTGCTCGTCCATCCGTTTTTCTCAGACTAGCCAGCTAAAGATCTATATACAGTATACTCCAAATCAATTAATCTAAAGAATTTGAATTATCATTTTATTTTCTTTTTGAGTTGTTTGCTATAGTAGCCTTTACAGTTACCTAATTTCAGAATCAATAGAGCATGAAAGCCAATAAAATTTGCAACATCAACATAATTTTTTTTTTGTTCTGAGCACTTTTGGACGCCACCAATGGAGACAATTAGGGAGAAATTTTTGAAATTGAACTTCCTGTCTTTCAAACTGAAAATCTCAGGTTGATATTTTGAAACAAACATTTGTGACATCAGTCTGGGATGTTATTGGTTATACCATTTAGTTAAGTACCACAAAATTCAGTGTGTCTGCTTCTTCGCTGATGACACTGGAAAAAGATATGCATGCCTACTTTAAAATCATCATTCAATGCATTTTTTGTTATTGTACACTGTACATATTCGATGAAAGCATGCTAACCGCTTTTCAGTACTTTCAGTACTTTGATTTGTAAGTGGCAGGGCCGGTGTGGTTCCGTTTTGTTTTCAAAACAGAATTTCTCCATATAATACTACAATAGCATTAATATATAACAAACATTTGGGATACTTCTTGCTCTCTCTTTTTAGCAAATCTAAGGGTGGGGTGGGGTGTCAACTTCCGAACACCCCCTCTGCATCTCCCAATCTTATAGTCTCTGTACAAAGCGACCATCAGAATATCGGAGGGAAACAAAGATCTTATTTTAATTAGATTTTTGTTGATCCTTTAAAAAAATGTATAATTTCGATTTTTATTAGCTGCAGAACTGTAGCTCTCCGAAAAAATATTTATTTACAGACCAGAGAGCTACAGTGCCCCCCATTGAAAAAACTGACTTAACTGTATATCTATTGCGCGCAAAAAAGTGCGCTGTTTCTCGATTTATTTCTCCGTGTTTTTAAAACTGTCATCCCAAAATATTACTAAACGTTTGTTCCTAACATATTCTTTCACTGTTTCAACAACAAAACAATGCATATAAATGTTTTTAATAGCCATTCTTTCCCTGAAATTGAAATCATTGAAAATTTCGCCCATTTACACACGTATGGCGCCATTTTGGTTTGCATGATAATTCGGTCCAACGCGCTTCGTACAGAGGTAAACTATGAAAGTACTTGATAGAGGAGTAAGGAATATTTTGAAATCTAGTTTTTTGCAATTGAGGTAAGATATTTGGAAGAATTAATCCAGAATCGAGCGCACTTTTTTGTGCGCATTAAATATACATTTTTTTTTCAATGGGTGGCACTGTAGCTCTCCGGTTTGTCAATATACATTTTTTTTTTTTTGGAGAGCTACAGTTCTGCAGCTAGTCTTTATAGGCTTTGCATTTTTTGCACCTTTCAATTCAATTCAATACGTTTCCAACTATATTTGACCTAATAGCCATTCGAATTCTTTTAACTGAAGTTCTCAGATTCATTAATATCTTAATTGTGGCGCCATACTGACAGGTAAAAATCCAATGGGTTCTTTTTAGGAGGGGGGGGGGTCTGCGACAAACCAAACATTAAAGCCTGATACACTCTCTCCATTCTCTTTGAATTTATTTACATGTATATTAATTTTTGACCTTTTTTTAAACAAAAAAAAAAAAAAACTAAATTGACACTTTACCTGCTAGGTTAAATCTCATTTTTTTTTTTAGCGGGGGGGGGGGATTCCCTTCCAAATAAAAGAAAAATGACCAACGAAAAATAGAGAAATACGGGGAAAAATAAATGAATTAAGAAAATAAATAGGATAATCAAAGACATAAATCTATTCTTACCGTAGACAGATCTTGAAATAATACATTGGGTAAGAAAAACACAGAGAATCGTCGTAAAAACAATGGTTGGCTTTCTTCTCTGTTTGCAGTATGCCATGATAGATAAAAGTCTATAAAGTGTTCACAAAAATTAAGTTTTAAAATTTTATATCCTGTTCGCGTTAATGGATTTTGAACTTTAACTCTTGATTTCTGTTTGATTAGTCAGGGTGAGCATTTTGTGTGAGATTTTTGACAATAAAAATACGTGTGAAATATTCTGTCCAATGATGTACTTTCATTAAAAAAGTATGACTCAACATGTTTCAAAGCAGGGGGAGATTGCAGCATTTCTTTGATTTTGATATACATACATGGCAAACAAGGGAAAAAATTGTGCCATGTTAGTCTGTCTGCAGCGGATCGTTAGTTTATTTAATTGTAAACACATTTAAGAAATCATTTAAAACGCATTTAAAAATTACAGTCCATCGGTCGCATTTGTTGTTTTCTTTATTTCTATATTTTCAAACTTTAAAATAATTTCATTTTTATATTTAAAATAGCATAAAAATTGATTTTTTTAAGCCTCCAAATTCTATGTATTCAAGAAAATTATTAGAACGAAATGGAGTCATATAGAATATGTAATATCAACCAAAAACTTACACCAAAGGGTGCCTGACTCCCGAAAAGCGAAAAAAAAAATCCCACACGCATTACTGGCAATAAATAATGCAACATGGTTAAACCTACTAAAAAACGAAGTGTTTAATTCCACTGTCTGATGTGTTTCCAGGTCAGTAAAAACTGCATCTTTTTAACAATATTAAAAAAAAGAAATCATTTGTTATCTTCCTTTAAAGAACAAAATATCTTTTACGTAGGTCTTATGTGCTCAAAGCACGAAGAGGACTAAGTAAGTAATCACTACCCTGGGCTGAAAACCAAAGAAGATAACAATGGAGTACTGAGTATGTGAAAATAAATGTGTACTACAAATAGTGCGATACATTTCTAAAAACTGTTGATTGGTACATTTAGAAAATATGTACAATAAAAACCAATATCACCTCTTGAATATTTTTTTTCTTTATAAGCGGCACATCGAATGTCACGAATATTAGATATTTTATTGAAAACCATATATCGATGTAGTCCAAATGGAATAATGTCTGTGACATTCGATGTGCCATCCACTGCCTGGTTTTTCTGTGGACTGCCTCTTAAGAGTTAAAAGTCAACAGTTAAAATCTTATGGAAACACGAAAAGGCCAGGTATTTCAATTTTTAAGTAAAGCGTGTTTATGAAAACCACAATAATAATATTCTTAAGCTGTGGATTGAAAAAAAAATATCGCGATATAACGCGAAAATTTCGCGAATAAACGCGTAACTTTTGCGTTATATCGCGAAACTTTCGCGATATAACGTGTAACTTTCGCGTTATAACGCGAAACTTTTGCTGTTTAACCAGACATTTGCTTTAGTCTCAACGTTCTTTTGATTTTTTCATCGATTTTATTCATTACAACACAGGAGTCTGAAGTTTTAATCGTCAAAAAAAAAAAAATCCGGAAAAAAATTTTCCTACCCTTAACTAAAAAAACCCCAGGATGGCAACGTGTTTTGGGGGTACCCACCTAAACAAATAGATCTGGGCTTGGTCGGAAAAATCTCGCAACTAATTTAGTATCCGGAGTGTTTGTCCTATTTATTCAAGTTAAGAAATCAAATCTGCTTGACGACTACGGGCTGTTCATGGTCTGTTTTCCAGTTTGACAGCTCATCCTGGACTCCATGCCACTAAACCGGAAGTGAACTCCGAGGTGAATATGTAGCGGACAGTATATAGGGAACTTATACTGCCTCGCCAGTGAGCTAGCTTTTCTGGTGATGCGGTAGAGTCTCCCTCTATTTCAGGCAAGTTAAGCAACGGCGAGCCTGTTTAGCCCTTGGATGGGTGACCGCTTCACGTTACAAAATTGGTGGCAGCGTAGTGACTCTTGTGTCTGGTGTTCTGCTTCAGGAAGCTCTATGGCTAGGACTTTGTTTCCAGGTATATATGTCCGGGAACGGCATTGGTTGCCGTAACTGAAGAGGCCCAGACACTAAGAGAGAATCATGCTAAGCTTCGGGTAGAAGCTTCCCTAAGCGGGGGGAAAAGCGGACAGTAATAGGGAACTTATACTGCCTCGCCAGTGAGCTAGCTTTTCTGGTGATGCGGTAGAGTCTCCCTCTATGTCAGGCAAGTTAAGCAACGGCGAGCCTGTTTAGCCCTTGGATGGGTGACCGCTTCACGTTACATCCTCACCAAATTCTTAAGATAAAAAAAACAACAATACATTCAAAACATTTCTCCATCAATAATAAATGAACATTTTAAAAAAAAAAAAGGTACACTAGACAAAATCATATAATTTCCTCAGTGTCACAATCCTAACATTACTTCAATTGTTAGAAATTTTTCTTTTGATATACAACGATTAAAGCAAAATTACAAAATGCATATACCTAAACTCTGACCATACTTACACCACATTCTAACTAATTTTCTTTGCTGAAGACTTCAACGCTGGTCTGCTAGCCATTGTCAAAGGTCTTGTACACGAATCTTCCATCACCATCTTGAATTCGACTCACTTTTGTGAAAGGTATATTATAGCCATTGATAGAAATGAAACTGTCATTCAAATTGATAACTACAGGTCCAAATTGACTGTCCAGCAAGATGTCCATACCTAAGAGGCATTCATCTTTGATTCCCGCAACAATTATCTCCCTTTGAAATGCTAGATTTCCTAACTGTACTGCAAATTCAGCCTTTCCTAATACTTTAAGTGGATCTCCATTGACGGCTACAAGACTTGAAGATTCCTCTAGCTCTGGTCTTTTGTTCCTGGGGAGTCTCCAAAATATTTTATCGGACAATATAGTTCTTGCAGCCCCTGTGTCTGCTGTGAACTCTACTTTTATCCCTTGAACTGTTCCCTGAACATAAATTCCATCTGCCTTGAGGAGCTGTCTCCTAATGTACTCCCTCTGAGCACTCAGTTCCTCTTCCCCTGAAACGTCCCTGACGCAAGGCTGGAATTTCCCCTGGTTTTCATTTTCCTCCCCGGATTCATCTAAATTTCCACTTAAAATAGGTTCAATTAAAATTTTACAGTCATTTTGGCCTTTGTTACTTTGGGTCGTCTCTTGGCCTCCGGAGCTGACCCTTTCTAGTTTAAAAGTTTCTCTTGTTTGTCTCCGCAATCGTTATCCAAGTCTACATTCCATCTAGATTGATGATTTGGTTGAAATTCTGGTGCATCAGTTGACATGGTACTTGTAGCTTGGCTTTGACTTGTGTTTGGCTGTTCATCTGTACTTGGTAGAGATGATGACATGGTTTTCTCTGGAGGTTTCCTGTACTGTGATCTCTCTGTCCTGCGAAAATTTCTATCCGGACACTCTCTGGCATAATGTCCGGGCATGCTGCAAATAAAGCAATTCCCTTTCGTCATCTTCACGGAATTTGCATTTCCCTTTTCAGCATAGCAATTGTCTCCCTTTCCATAAGACTTAGCCTGTCTAATTGGGCGTCTCTCTTCATTGGTGTTTAAATTGGATGTCACTGACATATAAGCAGCTACCTGCTGTACTGCCTCTTCAATTGTTGATGGTTCTTTGTGTAATTCGATGTATTGCCTTGCCTTAGGATCCCATAGTCCTTGCAAAAATTTTGAAATTAAGTCTTCCTGTCTTGTACTGGCATCTCTACTAGGGTGAGCCCAGTCATAAAGACGTTTAATGTCAGCAGCATACTCTTCAAGACTTTCATCTTTTCCTTGTCTTTTGTTGTTGAATTGAGTTTTGTAGACTCTCTTATTTTCCAGTGTTCCAAATCTGGATTCTATTTCTGCGACTAAGGTCTCATAGTTCCCTATAGTCTCCTTCTTCAGCTGACCAAAAACAAAATCAGCCGCAATTCCCTGTATTCTTGGTAATATCTGTTGTAACTTCTCTTTAGCAGTCCACTTGGCTAACTTGGCTACAGACTCGAAGCGATTCAGCCAAACTCTCCATTTCTCGGAACCTGTGTAAGGCGGAAGCTTACAGTCAAGCTTGTGGTTATACGACTCATTGGACTTGATCAAATTTCTTGCGGCGCCTGAGTTGACAGTTTGCTCATTTTCAGACTGTTCTGAATCTTCGTTTGATTCCTTATGATGGCTTTCTGTGGTTCCCGTCTCTGACTTGTTATTATTTGAGTTGATTCTTGATATTTTAGGCTGCAGCTCGCAGTTTGTAGTATGTGACTGGCAGTTCACTTGTCCGATATTTCGGGTAGTCGCTTCCATCATATTTTGCATGACTTTCATTGTCTGGTCGCTCACTTGTCTGAGAGTTTGAGTAGTTGCTTCCATCATATTCTGCATGGCTTTTATTGTCTGGGCCATCTGTTCCATCATTATCTTCATAGGGTCTGAGACAGAATTATTTTGTTTTGACTGTGTGAGTGGTTCTGACAGTTCTGTGTCTGTAGGGATTATCTCCCTTTGCTGACGTACAGTCCTTTTGGATCTTCTTATTTTTCTAATAGGCGTTGATATTCTAGCCTGAGTATCTGAGTCATCTTCATCCTCTGTAGAGTTGTCATTGTTGGACATGCTCTGTTCCCCTCGGAGTGATCTGTTTAACGCTGACGGCGATACATCTATGAGGAGTTCCTCATCTGTGGGTGGTCCTCTGGAATGTCCGGGATTAACGGATGGCTCCATCCTAGTCTTGGATCTGGTATAGTACCTATGCATGGATTTTTCTCAACACTGGTTCTGGGTTACGTATCTCTGGATCCACCGATGTACATGGCAGATCCCACCGCTGCCACCAAATGTAACGGACCTGAGCTGCTTGGATCTCACGCACAAGTACTTTAGATGCCTACACGGGAATAACCCATGTAGTACTCTGATGATTAACGAGAATAACCCGCAAATAAAGATCTCCTATAATATATAACACAAGAATTACCTGTGTTTGGACTCGTAAATAACTACGGGGAAGTTAAATGATAAGCCTTATTTAAAGTTTACAAATTTATTCAATAAATAAAAGTCACAATATGTATTA